TACGCGCAGGCGAACCATTGAAATAAAAATGAACCATGTGTTAGTCCCAAAATGACCTAGTTTGTATCAAGTGGACGTTAAACCCCATTTATCTCTCTCTCTCTCTCTCTCTCTCTCTCTCTCTCTCTCTCTCTCCCTTTGTCACTGGTGCAAGACGGAGGGCCTAGCGAGGCCAGTGTCTAGTCGTTCGAACGGGGCGAAAAGCTGAAGTCAGGCGTACACGTTGGTATGCACGTAAAGGAACTCTTGAAAGTTTTAATTCGATATAACTGTAGGCCATAGCGCCGCTATCCGGGCAAAGGTTTCCTCATAGCACAATGCATGACGTACACCCGTCTTGATTAGCCCAGGCATAACAGTAAGGTGTTAAACCCCATTTCATTCTTGCTCTCTCTTTGGCAATGGAAATGAACATGAAATGGGGTTTAACGTCCTACTGTTCCCCTCCGACTGAGCTAATCAAGACGGGATGTGGTAGTGAGTTGAAAATGCTCGAAACTATTATTTAGAAATTTTACCGTCTGCCTTTTAAAAAAAAAAGTTAGTGGTAATTCAAAAATTTGTTCCCAAAATGCTTTGATTAAACTACGTGGAATCGATATCCCAATAAGATCACAGTTTAGGGAATAATTGTATTAAAATCCCGCAGACGAAAGTGAAGAAAGTGTGTAGTTTTAACGAATGGATATTAATGGAAGGGAGATAACTATTAAATCTGTGAATAAAGGTAACATTAATTCTCTCCCCATTGAATACAATTTTAAGTCCATAGGGTGACCCGTGCATTCTACAGAAAGTTGGTCTCGACACGGCTAAATGTGCACGCTTCAGTTGCGTGTCTCAAACTGATTTCTGACTACCCCGCACTCTCTTTGAGTCGATAAATAGCCATGGCACGTGCAATTCTCTACAAATATATCAACTATTACAGCCGTAAAAAATCTATTGTTGACGATTTTGAATAGCAGTAAAATTTAGCTTCTTGGTTATTACAGCAGCTTTAGAAATTACGTTTGTTTTATTTTTTAAATTGCTTTATCATTAACTGTACCGTTAAGAGCGGCTTCTTTTGGTTTAGTACAAATACTATCTCTGAATCACTTTCTTTAGCAGGAACATGATACTAGCAGTAGTTTCATTTTACTTTTACAAGTTTCTTAAAACAATTGTTGAGTTGTCTAAAGTGCTTATTTCTAAATTCAATTTCTTGTTCTAGCTTTCTTTTATGTTTCGTAAAAAAGTAATTGATTATCCCGACCTGTCAATCAGACGTATTATAGTCGATAAACTGGTTAAGCGAGACTAATTTCAAAACAAGGGCACGTAACCTATCTTTTACTCAAAAGTGTCTGGATGTTATGGACGACACTTGGAACCAGTTTTCAGTCTATTATTTATCTAGAGATGATTAATGGTCATAGCTTATTAAGTACAACATGATCGTTTATTTAGTGACTATAATTGTGTGAAACTGATTTGAGGCTTGGCATATATATAAATATTGTGGCGTAATTGTCGAGATATTTGGAGATATTTATTTATGGTGGGTCACCCATTACATTTTTTGAACATCCCGACAATCTTGATCTTCACCTTTATATATAACTTATAACGAGCCTAACAGCCCATGCCCCAATCATCTTTGATGGCCGAGAAAGATCCCCGGTATTTTCCAGTGTTGTTTCCCAATGTCGGTGGTGACGGAGGGCCTGGCCCGAAGAGCGTGAAGTCATTCGAACAGCAAAGGGACGTCTGTGTACACACTGGCATGCAGGTAATAGAACTCTTGCAGTTGGAATTCGAAACGAGCAGACCGGAGCGCCGTTCCCTGGACGAACTTTCCCCGTTAACATTATGCTCAAATTCATTAGATCGCTTGGTGCAGAAAAGTAAGACGTTAAACCCCGTTTCATTTCATTAAACAATTTGCAGTGAGAATTTTCGTTGGTCTATTAGTTTCGCTTGCCGACTAAAAAAAATAGTCGATGCAACCTACTAAAGTTTTCGTCGTGGCTCTTGAACATTATTGAAGTTTACAGTTAATTTCAAACCACGTGACATTTGTATGGCAATTGGCTTAAAATCTCTTGGCGGCCATCCCAAGTTATAACCATGCCCACAACAGTAAATGGACCTTTCAAATGAAGAAAAGATGGTAATATAGCTTTTGAAAACTCTACTTTGTTCATGAAACCGACACTAGTACTTCAGATTCGTATTTAAAACATTCGGATTTAAGAAACAATACTGTGATGATAGAACTGTAACCACCGTGGACCTAAAGTGTTATAGGAATCACTTGCTAACTACTACATTGGGAAAGTTAAATCTCTAGTAGGAATACCAGTCCAAAAATGGTTCAGTTCTGTATTTAGAGAGATATGTGTAATTGAATCTGTCCATGTAACAGGCCCGTGGCCTTTTTGTTGACCGCTAAAATAAAAATGTATTGATCGACCTGTTTTAAATCCGATTGAGTCCAAGCCTAGAAATTATTTAACTATAAATTTTGATTTTTGTTAGGTAATAAATCAGAGGACATATTAGCGTGGCTTAAACCTTGAGAAATTGATATTTTAGTGAACACTGCAAACAACGCGTCGTTAATTCAATCGGACCAATATACATGTATATATATCATTTATTGATAAATTTGATATCAAAATTCGCTTTCAAGCCAGTAAGTCCAGTTGATTTTAAGAAAGCCCTAGCCCCATAAATATACATTCCACATAGTGTGCACCAAAGAAAATTAATAATTAATGCCACTATGTTTCCGCTCTTCAAGAGTTTTACGAGTTAACAATTACAGTTAGATTTAACGTCCCTTCTACCATATGCACAATACGAAACTGTCCGTGTTTGTCTACTATTAACTCCGATGGAGAACAGGCACGAGGCTATTGGGCTGACAACATTTTTAGATTTTAGTCGAAAACACCAAGTCTATTTCAAAAATTTTGAAAAGTTTAATATTCGGCTTCCAAGTTAAATGTTTATAAACTGGTCAGAATCGCATAACATGATAGTACACTTATTTTTCAAGATTGTGGCCTTTCATGGCAGATATCTATTTTCACAGTAGATATTTCTCTCTGTCCAAGGGCTGAATGGTTAGCACGTGCGTGCTGTATCATAAAGTCTGTCATTGAGTCAACTGGCGTGGTTTCGATTCCCCGGTTGTACGTGACAAGGAGTAGGGTCCTACGCGAAAGCGAATTATGGAAATAAAATTGAACCATATGTTAGTCCCGAAATGACCTAGTTTGTGTCGAGTGAACGTTAAACACTAGTTTAACATACTGCTTTTCTGCACTAACCTAGAAAATGAAGACATGAGAGTTTAACTGAATTAAAATCTGCCAGATGAGCTAAATGGATCGTTAGGCTCGTTAGTCACGCGCAATGCTATTCTGCGGTCTCCTCATTTACCACGTGACTTAAGTAAAGCTTTTGGTGCAAATGCGGTTATATTTATGTTTTACGCCACCTCCCCCCACCCCCGCCGCCGCCCCTAACAATGTCTCATAGCGATATAACGGAGAAAATATAAACCTAAGGATCCCGGCAAGGGCAGGGGGCGGGGGGACTAGTGGCTTAACAGATGCGCGTTAAATCATTAGGTCTATTATTGGGTCAACTGCCGTGGTTTCGATTCCCAGCTTGTACGCGACAATAAATAGGATCGCCTGTCGAACCTCGTAGGCTTTCTCCACGTCCTTTCAGTTTCCCCCTACTGCTAAAGACTCCTTAGTTTGTATCGAGCGGACGTTAAACTTCATTCCTCTCTCGCTGTCTTGCTACGCTACTGGATTTATCCACGCTAGTAGGAGATTTGCTTGTATACTCATTACGCATTTATGCTCGTTAAATATTAATTATTGTCATTCGGGTATCCCTGGATTGATATCGCATTTTCTATTTCTAATTACAGATCCGTGTGACTTTTTTTTATAACTGTCACGATCTACACCCATTGTTATTATTTGAAAGAACATTGTTATGTCATTATCCGAAAATAATTATGCCTTTACCGTGATTTAGAGTAATCGAACATATCTCGTCCACGACAAATGTCCTTACTTGCAGCTGATCGTGCCGAACTCTACCCAGTACAGAGATAGAGAGATGGGGTTAATTTCTAAATTAGGTCATTTCGACACTAATATATGTTACAATTTTATCAGTTGGAGGAAACCGGGGGCCTCAGAGAAAAATCACGAAGTTGGGTAGACAACCCTACTCCTTGTCACGTACAAGCTTGGGGTCGAAACGACGCCACTTGGCCAAATTATATACCTAATAGTCTATAGCGCACGCCTTTGACCACTCGCCACCTCCCAATTATTGCAATCCAGTAGAAGATGCAAAATGTAGATTTTTAAGTGGGGTGTGTTCCAATTAGTTGGTTCGGTGCGAGTTGGTCATTTTGTAGGGGGTAGTTTGATAAATCATTTTCAGAAAACCTCGTGGGTTTTCTCCGGGTCCTCCGGTTTCCTCCCACTGCTAAAGACCCCTACGCGCAAGCGAATTATTGAAATAAAATTAAACCAGATGTTAGTCCCGAAATGACCTAGTTTGTGTCGAGTGGACGTTAAACCCCATTACTCTCTCTCTCTCTCTCCCCATTAGTTGGTTCGATGCGAGTTGGTCATTTTGTAGGGGGGAGTTTGATTAACCATTTTCAGAAAACAATTGAAAATTCAATGTTTATGAGGTGGATCTTCGAGATAATGTTATTTCTGTTTTCATATTTCGGGCATAGCTGCGGATCTGTGGAATTTGGATTTTAATTACTGTGACTTCTTATATATGTAATAAGTATGTGGGAGTAAGTTTTATTAACGAGTATTAACAATGATCCATCACGTTTACGGAATTTTAAACCTTGATCGTGATAAACAAAAACACCTATGTTAAAAATATATCAATTTAATTGGTAACAAAATACAATAAAGACAATTACAGTTAATTAAAAATTATATAAAAAAAATGTAACAATTTATGATCTGTTATTTACAATTAGGAATCATATCATAATGCATAATGTAATTTTAATTGTATATTTATGCATGATCTCTATCAGAGGATTGACAAAATGGTCTTTAATATGGGCCATCAAATTTCAAATCTGTATATTTAACACTGATAAACCTCAATCTGCAAAGGAAAAGAATTAATTTATAAATCAGCTTTTTTTTACAAAGTCACAATATAATTAACAATTTGTATCAATAATAAAAAAAGGTCTTAAGCTGGAACTCCATACGTATACATGTTGCGTATCGACCATTTATTTATTATTGTTTATGTATAGCTTTTTCCGAAATCCTGTTATTGTTAATTCTTTGACGTTCTAGTCCAGGAGTGGTTTTATGTTTTCTTTTCTGCAAATCATTGTTTTGATTTTATGTTTTCTTTCCTACAAATCATTGTTTTGATTCTTGTTATGAGTGAAACTTGTATCATTACATGCCCGGGAACCATTTTGATCCCGGGATCTTTTGGTTAGTGAGACAGTGACTTATTCACTGAGCCACAGTGGCTCCACAAAGGTTAGTAATGCACAAAGCAATTATTTCATCCCCGCCCACTAGAGAGTAAAGTGTCGCACAGGTCCAACAAACAGTGGGTGTGGTATCACACCCCTGGGGGTCGGGACATGCACCAAAATAAATAGTTGCTATCCTTAGAGTATAAGGAATAAATATGCCAAGTTCAAAGATGATCCATTCCGAATTCCAGCCTGTAGACAAAAAACACAAAAATTGGGCGTGGGGAGGGGTGGGGTGGATGGACATGGACCAATATATATAGGTACAAGCCTATGCTGGATCATTCCGAATTGGATCCAAATCTCTTAATAATTGCAACCCGTATATCATTTACAGACAAAACATCAACAGGGGATGTGGAGGAGGGGGTCGTGAACCAACATCAATAGTTGCCGTCCTTAGGGTATAAGGAATAAGTATACCAAGTTCCAAGATAATCCATTCAGAATTGTGGCCTTCGGGCGCTAAAGGCAAAATTTGGGCGTGGCTCTGACCCTGGGGGTCGAGGCATTCATCAAAATCAATAGTTGACGCCCTTAGGCTATAAGGAATACATATGCCAAGTACCAAGTTGATCTATTCAGAATTGCGGCCTATAAACGATAAACACAAAAATTGGGCGTGGCTCTGCCCCTGTCGGTCGGGACATGCAGTTGTCGTCCTTAGGCTATTAAGGAATAGATATCCCAAGTTCAAAGACGATCCATTAAGAATCGTGGCCCGTAGTCAACACACAGAGAAACAAAGACAAAATGGGTGTGGCTCTGCCCCTGGGGGTTGGGGATTCACCAAAAAACAACAGGAGTCATCCTTAGGGTATAAAAATAGCTATGCAAAGTTTCAAAAGGTTCTGTTAAGAATTGCGGTCTGTAGGCGAAACACAAGACACACAAACATTGGGCGTGGCTCTGTCCCAGGGAGTCGGGCATGCACCAAAAATAATAGAGGTCAGCCTTAGGGTATACGGAATAAGTATAAAAACGTTTTCAAGACGATCGATCAAGAATTGCGGGCTGTAAGTGACACACAGACACACAAAAAAATGGGCGTGGCTTTGCCCTTGGGTATTCACCACAAACAATATGAATGTTCCTTAGGATAGAAGGAATAAGTATGCAAAGTTTCAAGGTGATACGTTAAGGAATGCGGTTTGTAGATGACACACAAATAAATACAAGTAATGGACGTGGCTCTGCCACTGGGGGTCGGGCATGCACCCAAAAAAATAGGGATCATCCTTAGGGTATAAGGAATTCATATGAACAGTTTTCAAGACGATCGATTAAGAATCGTGGCCTGTAGGGGACACACAGACACACAAAAGAAAATGGGTGTGGCTGATCTGCCCCTGAGGGTTAGGTATGTACCCCAAACGATAGAAATGTTTCCTTTGGGTACAAAGAATAAGTATGCAAAGTTTCAAGATGATATGTTAAGAAATTCGGCCTGTAGACGACAAACAAACAATACAAGAAATGGGCGTGACTCTGCAAATGGAGGTTGGGCATGTGCCAAAAACAATAGCGATCATCCTTAGGGTATAAGGAATAAGTATGTAAAGTTTCAAGATGATCACTTAAGAATTGTGGCCTCTAGGCGACACACACACCCACACACAGAGACAGGGGCGACGACAATATACATCCAAAACTGATAAAATAATCACTTACATAATCAATGTAACCCTTGAAGTTACTGTATGTATTGCCACGCCCAATCTGTAGAGCGCATTCACTTTTACCAATAGCACCTGAAACATGACCGAAGAGTCATTTTAAGTAATTAGTCATCAACGTCAATTTTAATTTTAACATCTGTACATTATTATTTCAGTATTTTTAAAAAAAAAAAAAAACACAACCAATCGACAGCCGACACGTTTAACTAGGATGTCCTGGCTCTCTGAATCAAAGAAATGCGATGGGTCATTCGTCATGTATGGTCGTAGACAATCATGTTTTCACCCAACGTATCATGCTGTGACCTTATCTCAGATTTTAAGAAATACAAAATGACTGGAACCCACCATTTGTGTCCTCATTAATTGTGTTACCATTTATTGTGCCGCTTAATACTCCATTTTCAACCCTATACACTAATTCTTTCCATTGACTCTGTAAAATAACCAGCAAAAAATGTTTATTAGTCAAATCTGATCTTATATTCAGATCCGGGTGCAGGGGTTGTACTAAATGCCGAATCAACCACTCGCTTGAGCGTAAGGGGCTAGAGCAGGGGGAGAAACCGGATCGGCGGAAAACAAGAAGGAAATCCATTAGGTTGGAGAGGCGACCCTACGCCTTGTCACGTAGAAGCTTGGGATCGAACCCCCACCACTTGACTCAACGAAAGATCTTGTGATCTAAATCGCCCACGTAGATCATTCGACCACCCCAGCCCGCCAAGTGACAATGGCAATATATGTCAATACATACACATGTATACATTATTCTACTCATAAACTGGATTAGACGCTGTTATGAGAGACGGTTTTAATTTCTGAAAGCAACAGGGAGAACTAATTAAAGTGAACATAAAAAAAACAGTTGCTTCCAATCAGGCAAATATAAGTATTACCTGTGGGGCTGCTGTTATTGAAATCCTTGTCCTTTGGCCACCGTCTGTTCTCATACCAAAAGTAGTGATAGTTTGATCAAGTAGAATATCTAGAGAACCTGGTTTACCACAATCACGATTGGTCACCAGAGCTTGCTGTCCTAAAACTGTACCCTCTGTCCTATATCTCATCTTTATCATAAACGTAGATCCAAGAGCAACATTGGAGAAACGTGGGATTCTCAGGCCACTGGTACCATCGAAATAAGCTTCACCGTTCTCAATTACAACTCCTACATTCTCAACCCAGTTCCAATGACCAGAAGTGTCAGTCACACCGTTAATGAACGTCAAATTGAGTAATGGGTTGCATTCTGAAAAAAGACAATTATATAGTAGAAAATTATATAATTAATTCATTATCAAATTAAAAACCATCTGGATCTGGATAAAGTAAGTTGCAGGACTTTTCCGCATACGCGCAACATTAATAACGGTGGGCTATAATTTAATGGAATACTGGTAATTACTGTGATATAAGAACTACCTTTATTGGCGACCGGAACTTGACCGGCATCTATCAAGACTGAACAATCGCACCCGTCTTCACTATAACCAGTTCCTGGTGCACAGAGTCTGTCAATCCATCCCAAACCAGGGTGAACTTCTTGATAACCATCAGGTTTACCAGCAACAGCTCGTTTATAACATACTGTAAAAAAATATAACCTGGACTTAAGTTTTAGATCGTGGATCCTAAAATGTAAATGACTTAAAAAATTGAAAACTGTCTTTCATTTCAGTTGTATGCGTCCAAAGGGGTTGGCTTTGAACAAAAATTGTTCTGGTACAAGCGAAACCTTTCAGTGATCTAACGTAATCTCATTGTTATTAATAGCTTGAGCATTTTATCGGAAAAAGACAGGGTTGGGGTTATCGCAGACAAATATCTCCCAGGAAACTTGACAGAATACTTATAAGTCGTGTTGGAGAGGCGGGTCCAGCATATGGGGGGGGGGAGTCAATATTGGGTTAAAGGAGCCATCATGCCTTTTGAGATGCAGTGTTAAATCGGGCTACTCATGTCAATCCGTACTCCAATCCAAAAGCGTTGCTTCAGGTACTGACTGATCCGCGCTGACGCGCTCGCTCCGATCTACAGAGTTAATTGTTACGTAGTAAGGTTTGCCCCGGCTGCCACTAGGAGGTCAGACCCTAACTACCAAACTCATAACTGGATGTTCAGTGCATTTTTTTTAAAATTTTATTATTGGTGTTTTATAGTAGTATGCATACCCTCTTCATCGGCGACCTCTTCTCCTTGACAAAGATCTTCACAGGTTTCATCAACCTCACATCGATTACTTACTGTGTTGAAAGAACTTATTGGGGGACAACACGTGGCTTTAGCAAGTTTGTTAGCACACGAATGATATTGTCGACAGTTTGTATCGGTTTTATAAAACAATGTGTTTGGGTTTACACATGGGTCTGTAATTAAAAGAGTGAAACATGAGATTGCATTAATTTAATGTGAAGAAGGGAAAAGCACAGATTAGACTAGTGTTTTTAAAATACAAACACAGTATGTACTGTATTAATTCAATCCAGCACAACTTGATGCTCGGTGGTTCTATAATAGCAATATGGTGGAAATTTTGAACATGAATGGAGTAGTGTTAAATTAATACATACCATTAGTGCAATTTACATATTGGGCAAAATTACATGATAACCCATCCTGATCCCAGAAAAGTCCCGCAGAACAGCTCATGGTGAAAGCGCTTACACTGCCGTCTGCTGAAAAGAAACACTGGACGTACTTGTGGCAATCAGAAGGGTGGTTGTTATATCCAATTCCATTGGACATTTTACACCCTGCGCACAAGTCAACACTCAATGATGCTGTCGTCGGCTTAGGGGTGGCTGTTGTAGGTTCAGGAGTGGTTGTGGTTGGAACTGGGGTTGTTGTAGTAGTTGTTGTTGTTGCTAAATATAAATGAACTTTGTGTTTCAATATTGTAAAAGAGGTTATCATGGATATAGTCTCTTTCCCAATCCTTTATATAGGGATTCAATTATATAGAAATATTACATTAGTTTATGTTAGAAGCAAAACAATACAATTTATTGTAAAAAAACCCACATCTTTATATTTATTATTAAAATTGCTCCGTAGATTGATAAAGTACTTACGTGGACAAACGTCAGGTAACATTTTCTTCAGAGTTTCAGCAAGTTCACTGAAAGAAGGTAGTTTAATACACTGAATTCTGCTTGAGGCAATCGACTGAAGTTCATATGTATCAATTTTGGATCCTACACCAACGGAAAACATGTCTACTCCATTAACTTTAGCCAGATTTGCCTGGGCTATGGTTTTATTTGTATCTTTGGAGATCCCATCTGTAATAACTATACCAATAGTGTCAACTTCTCGATCAGTTCCGCTAATCATAGCCATCATAGCGGAGATACCTAGGTGGGTGTTGGTGCCATCTCGTGGATGTTGTAGTCCAAGAATTCTACCTTCAAGACCGGTTCGATTTCCAGTGAAGTTAATTTTATCAGCGATATCTGAGCTGTAAAGAACCAAACCGAATCGTGTATAGTCTTTGTCAATGGTAAGTCTCTGTGTCAACTCGACCAAGGCTTGCTTTAACATCAGAAATGATTCTGCGGATATACTATCAGAACCATCAACAACTGTAACTATATCTAGCCTATCCCTGCACCCTGAAATGGATATTAATAGCATATAGAAACATATTGTAGACCACTGAACTAATTTTGTAAACATATATAAACATATCATATAACCCTGAACTAAGTTTGTTAACATATAGAAACATATTATGGAACTATGAACTGATTTTGTAAACATATAGAAACATTTTATAGGAGATTGAACTAATTTTGTAAGAATATAGAAACATAATTTTCTTATAGGTCGTTGAACTAATAACAAAAATATCTTTTAATTTAATTTTTTTATAAACAGAATATTTTATGTGACTTAATGTAAATAAAAATTACCTGAAGGATTTGCAGCCTGTATGAATGAAATTAATAAAGCCAATGCAATTCCTCTAATACAAAAGCTACAAGCCATTTCTTGATCACAATTTCTGAACTACCTTTACTTTAGAAATTATTTTGCGGCCTGGAGGTAATATACTAAACTGTCAGCGAAAACACCTGTTTTATAGTCTGTGGTAGCCATTCTTTCCTCCTTAACAACCTGTGGATATACGTCATTCTTTTTCAACTCCGCCTCCTTAAGAAAGTTTTTCGATTCAATCAAGTTAAGGGATAGATATATACTACTAGTATTAGTGTACAACCCATAGATTAATATAAAAGTAAGGGATGGGATTGAGTTGGATAGGAACAAACAAATGTACCGCCTCTTCCTACTTGTATTATATTAGGTAAATACAATGTTTTATTCATCACTCCTTTCGTTACGTGTTAGTCAAATACAGTTTATTTGATTACATAGTCAAGTTTGATATAGACGACTTCAACCTTAAAGGAGTAGTCATAACCATTACAATGGATAACATTAGGTACCAAAAATCGTACACGTAAAATTATGTAATTGCTTTAATAATAATATCACATGATTTCATATACTGTCATTTCATATTTTTTCACGCATTTTTGTGTCAGGGAATCACATTTATATTTAGGGGTCAATTTTCTTAATTGAAGTACATGTAAGGTATATCATTTGTATTATTGTTGCCATCAAATATCATTGGAAAATTAAAAGGAAATAGGTAAATGATAGTCCCGGATGTACGCCTGTCCAGATCACATTTGTTATCCGACTTTTAACGAAACTTAAAATATAGGTTTATATCCCAAAGATCCCGGTTCCTTTCGAAATTGGCTTGTAGCGGACCGTAACTTCTTGGATTATGGCCCTTGATTGTACGATTTTGACGAAACGTAATATGTTTAGGTCCCAAAGATCTCGATTCCTTTGGGTATTCGTGCATATCGGACGGTAACTTCATGGATTATGGACCTTCATTGTGGACCCTCTAGAGTCCACAAATTTTTATCCGATTCTACAATCTATTCAAATTAATCATCGGCGCACCATAAGGATGGTTGAGTGTAAATTTCGTGAAAATCGGATCGTAACTGCCTGATAAAATGACCGCCCCTCGTACGAAATAGTATAAAAGTATGTAATATTCGATTTTGATGAAACTGAAAATATATCTTTATATCCCAAAGATCCCGGTTCCTTTCGTGCATATCGGCCCGTAACTTCATGGATTATGGTTCTGATTGTACGGAAAATCGTGTTTTTAGCTTACGAACACTCTAGAGTTCACAATGTTTATTTGATTTAAAACAAAAAACGTTGATATATATCACCATTACACCGTAATTACAGTTGAGTTCGAATTTCGTGAAAATCGAACCGAAACTTTCTGTTAAAATGGCCACCCCCTTTACGCAAATATTATTAAAGCATGTAATACCAAGGTTGTTGACCCCCTAGAGGTTACAATTTTATCCGATTTTGATGAAACTTAAAATTTATGTTTATTTCCCAAATATCTCTGTTCCTTTTAATATTGACGCATGTCAGATCGTGACATCCGGGATTATGGTCTCTTATTGTACGAAAATCGCCTTTTTAGCTTGTTCTATGTCCATCTCTAGTAAAATGTGGCTGCATCTTGTTTGTTTTCGTTCAGATCAGTGATTAATAAAAAAAAGTTGATGGTCGATATTTACTCATAAAGTGAGTAATACTGTTTAAATAATGAAATAGATCAATTTGACACTAAAATAAAAAAGTTTTTTTAAAAAGTGTCAAATGACTCAAATGCCCCTTCGTGTCAATATGCATACAAGTATTCAGATAAAAAAAAACCAACAACACGTGTGATTTCGGGAATTCGTGGGCGTACAAGCCGGGGGGGGGGGCTGCACTTTTGGGCTATTTCACTTGTCGGGCAGAGGGGTAAAGTGAAAACAAACATTATTTCCTCTAGTTGGCAAAATGAAGTGCCCGAAATCTAATAAACTACTAATTTTACTTTTCTTTTAATTGAATATCACGAATTTGAACTGGATTAAAGCATTTTGTCTGGAGCTACGATTGATTGGTTGACTGGAATTCGAGTCAATATTAGACAAGGGTGTTCGCGGGCTGGAATAGCAGGAAAACGCGTTGTCGGATGTCAAATTTTCCAATTTTCTTGGGGTGGTGTAGGGCTACACAATAAGCCTCTCCCAGAAGACCGGCGCGCTCAGTAACCCGAAATATTTTCGGGCATTTCTCTCCCCCCCCCCCCCCAACACCCTCCAACAGTTATCGAGCCCGTACGCCTATGTTTAGGATAGCGACTCTAAACTAGTGTATATTTATGTAAATCCAAATCATGACATAACTTTTTTATCAGTATGCTGAAATATTTTAACATGTATTTAAAATGGCTTCTTGTTCAAACATTATATTGAACCTTATTTTCCTGGTCCATTTAGGTGGTACGGTGCAGTTTCCTTTTTTATATAAATGAGAAAAGCAAATGATAAAATGTCAGAGAAAATTATGACATTGACAGATTTCATAAGAGACAAATGCACTTTACTTCACACTAACTTTATGTACAAATATCATTGTACGATAGAGTATTTCAAACAGTTTTTTTACCACGCAATCAAATTTTTACCGATGGATCTGATCATCACCGTGCCTCTCACTCTTCAAAAAAAGTAGGGGATATTCAGAAACAATACAAAACTGCGGAAATGCACTGCAGTTTTTATTGGAGGTAACCAGTGTATGTTAATAACAGGCCAATTGCCTACACATGAACATAAACGGCCCCATTTCACTGGCTAAGAGATACACTGTCAGAAGTGAAAATGGACGTTTTTGATTTTTGTCTTAATAATGAGTAATTGCCTCACCAATCCTTAGACATTCAGCAATTCGTCGTGGCATGCCCCTAATCAACCGTCCAATCACGATTTGGGCCAATCTGACCCACTCCTCTTGCAGTTCCACGGCCAATTCTTGCAGTGTTGTCCATTGACGTCGACGAACACGTCTCAATCAAATTAACGTAACACACTAAAACAAAGATGCGCTAAACAGTAAATCTTGTGCAAGAACCGATAGGAAAGCAAACATGGATATTGTAAACCAGCAAGCACCAGTTTTCATCAACCCTTCCTTGAAGTGCCAAATTTGACAATGAACCCCTCCCACATGTATGGCGCTATTGCGTGTCGCACATGCTGCTCAGTGGTTCTGGTGGGGCTATAAGTCCTTCATCTGTGAACATACTCTCAAAGCATGTCAAGTGTCCATGACTATTTATCATATCACAACCTGCATAGGTATTTGCATTTCAATATCCCCTACTTTCTTTCAAGAGTATATTTGGCGTTAGGACACTAAATTTTAAACCATCTAAAACTTCATACTCCACAGTACAAAACGACGGTGTTTGATTAATTTTCGCGGTCCAAGTTCAAGGTCATCAAATTATCGTTCTTTTAAATTTAGGCCCAGGGGCTAAAGAATAAGGGGGAACATTTTGCACCGGTTTCGATTTTCAACTGTCAGCTGACCTTTAAAGTCTTATCAATAATATACACGAGGAGCAGGTTTTCGTTTCACCCGCTTTTACTTGCCAGGGCCTCCGCCCTGTGGGAACTTTCTCGGTCACTCCTTGTTAGCGCCAAGTGAACTAGCAACCATGATTCTATTCTTTGGAACTTTAAAATAGACGAAAATGTGTACAAAAGCACATATTAATGTAATATGAAAGTATGTAAAATGTTTTATATCCAATTTGAAAAAAAAAGGATATATATCGTAAATTCTGATCAATTATGTTCGGGGAGAACAGTCAAAATTTAACGACAGTCGTTTGCGCTTGCTAGTCGTTTTTATCAATTATTGTGTCGTTTGTGAATCTGATATTACCGATTACTTTACTTCCGCGTCGTTTTGTCCGATGTTTTTCTTTGTTCATTTTAAATGGCGCTCGTGCACTGATTGTACAATGTTCATTGTCTCTTAAATATTGGATATTAGGATCTCATATTTTTTACGGCAAGACAATATCGATTGAAATCGGCTAAAATTGAATTCTAATTCGCATTTTTAAATTTGACTAGGTTAAGTTACTTTAAAATTGTGCTTGAAATCTAATTTCAACACTCCCTATGTATCTGTGAAGCTAAATCACGAAAACAAATACCAGATGAACCACGGATTTGAACTTAATCTTGATTGTCTATATCAGAGACAGATGACATTGACAAGTTTTGGTAAATTTGCTCTTTATTTCAAACTGTATTTATTCAAGTAGGTTATTATTTAAATATATTCGTTTCTTTCTCGAAAATAAGGTCGTCAGTGCACCGTGACTTATGATAATTAAATGGAACTCTAGACTGCTTATCTACAAAATCACGAAACACCCATCCCGTACAATATTACATAATAAGGTATCTGAACCACAGAACGTGAGGAAAAGTACTTGACCATGTTTGATTAAATATTTTTAGTACGTGACAAACACGATATTTTATGAACAAAATATTGCCGTATGTTTAACAATGTTTCTTTTTTATCTTAACAGCATATCATATTATACACCTTTGGCCCTTTGAGATATTTACTAGCGTGTACCATGAGGTTTCTTATTTCTTTTTCTGTTTAAACAAAAACATCTTGAAACAGACACTCGGAAAATCTACATCAAATTTCAGTAATAAACGCCAAGGGGATAAACATAGGTGGTCACTTCTGTCGCGATTCCACCAGGTGGCGCACAGTGTACTACAAATAGAATTGGGTTATACAGAAATGTCATGACATACGATTATCGACGCTAAACAGTACCCAAACAGCAATCCGATTTAAAGATGCATTATATCAGAGCTAATTCTACCTAAATTACAAGTTATACGTTTATTCACAGGCCCATAAGCAACTTTCTAGATCATCGGATGGTTGTGATGTTGAACGGATTGAAACACGAACTGTCACCTCTTTACCCAAATCTTAGGGTGTGTATATAAGCTGTATTTAACGTCCGCATTTACCTATATGCTGTCCAGACTGAAGCCTAGGGCCTCAAGATCTGGGGGCCCAGACCAAGATTATTTCTTACACGCACTGTAGTCTTAAACATTTGTCATCATCCTCAACTTGACTGATTTGTATAACACTCGCTCATCTTCCTCTATTTGCAAGAGCCATATATAAAAGTGGAAAAATTTAGGGCCTTGCATTATCTACAATAACCGACAATCTTCACTAACAACAGAGACCATCATAGGTTTGATAAATTAATGCGTATAAATGGTGAATTGTTTCACTCATGGTTTAGTTTTTAGCATGAGTCTCTTTACATTACGGACATATTGTTATTTGACTTTACTGTGGTATTGTGACTATGCTGGTCAAGAAATTAAGTTGATGCCCGAGAAATTCCAGACAAATAAAACGAGAATTCAAATAAAATGACTATAACTTAACGTGATTTAGTTATAAGAATATATTTTTAAAGTGATCTTAACATCATGATTTTAGGCTTGTAAAGCTAAATCACAACATCATACTGACATAGCAATTCCCGGATATTCCCAGTCAAACAAGCATGTCTACGTTGCTTTTACACTATCCGTAATATTAATTCAAGGGTATATTAAACATACATTATGCAAGAGCTAAATCTGCCTTTTGAAGGCCTTGCTTTATTAATTAGACATTAATTAAATTATCCAACACCTGATATTATTGCTAGCCTGTTATGTTTATTGGATTAGGTTTATTGGATTTAATCATGAAATGGATAATCGAGACTATGTTTTTATCGTACCGACTTTAGTAATGATGATCGAGGCTAGGGCGAAAATTCTATCGCTAAAATCTTGGTTTAGAGTGGATCAATTTGACTGAAGTTTTCAGCGAATTCTCTTTACATTATTTAGTTTGTAACTATTATAGTGAGAACTGCCAGCTCTTTATCTAATCTCCCATAATGTATCTTTAATTAAATTATGATTAATAATCAAACACCGAATCATAATAAACACTATAAGCCTACGGGTAACCATTTTCTCAATTTTTTTGTTCATATGGATCTGTGCTATCCTGAATGTATTTAGTGAGGCTATGTGTACCGTATTACGTAAAAGTTGTGTCATATTATTTGAATGTATTTACATGTATATAGAAAAAGGACTGCGTATATCAGCAATCCCGAGTAGTGCAGTCGTATCAGTTGTTCTGGAAAACAGTAAGCCTACCTGTCATAACTATTAACTATTATAGAACTACTAATTACTTAGAAAATCAATGTCAACTAAAAATGCGATAAAATTAGTTTTGTATTCAATCTGTACTTTAGGTCGGGTTTTCGAGGAAAGAATCGAAATAAACATTACAACAGATTAAGATAGGTGTGTCTGTTAGTTACATTAATCCACAATTAGTTATATAATTGTTAAAGGGGCATTAGGTAAGATAAGATACAGAGCTGACAGTTCTCGCTATAACGGTTAAAAAGTAGATAATAAAAACAGAAAATGCTGAAAATGTCAGTCAAATTGCTTCACTCTGAACCGAGATATTAAGGATTTAATTTTAGGCTAGCCTCGATCATCATTATTAAAGTTCTATAATAAACAAAGTCTGGATTATCCATTATCCATCATAAACTGTATTTAAATCCACTAAATATCGCAGGCTAACGATACTCATCGAGAGTTGATTATGGTCTTTATAAGTTAATTAAAGTCTAATTAATATTTAGATAACATTTCAGGCCTAAAGAAAGAGCTACAATAGGCAGAATTAGCTCCTGCTTAATACATGTTTAATATATCAGACCTGTATTAAACATACAGTCTTTATTTAGGCTTCAGATGTTATAGAAATTATTAATTAGACCTTGATTTACATGACAAGCTCGAATGGCTTGGATACAGTTTGAATTTAAACAGTCGTCCTTTTCAAATTAAATCAAGAAATGATCGACCAAGCTAACGTTTACCGTTAGTCACTGACGTCACTACCGGAAACTGGTGATGAAAGGCCTGTCAAGCGAAGGTACCATGGCCAATAAGAATGTTACTTGATAATCGAGAATATGTTGGTGGAGTTATCGTCTGTCAATCAAACGATCGGCCATTCTCGTAGACGGTGCGGACACAGTTGGTGCCTATTTCTAGTCCAAACTTCCAACAGTGACAACTCCGTTCAAAATAAAGTAATTTGACTGAAATTTTCATTGAATTATTATAGCAAGAATGGATCTCTTTATTAAACTCTTAACTAATGTATCTTTAATATCTGTGTATCTGAAAGCTAAACATCTTTATCTATAGCTTTTTCACGCATAGAAATATATTTTTTTTGTCCGGGATTCGTGTCAATATTACCATCTCTGTAACAGATTTTACAGGAATCTAAAAACGATAAGATAATAGACAGTTTTAATATTAAAAAAATATAGATAACCTCTTTTAGGAAAGTCAAAGGACCACCAAAACAAATATGCGTCTCGTACTTGCAGTTGTGGCAGTTCTTTCTCTGGCAGCAGGTAAACTTTTATGTATATATTATAAAATTCGTATTTGAATTTGAACATAGACGCCACCGCAGGTCACATAAAAATAACGACTCGGGAGAGGGGGGGGGGGGTATGTTAATTTGAGAAATTGAATTTCGTAGATTCACAGTACCAGCAACTTGCAATGATGACGGGCCCTGGACATGTGTCGTACAAATGACGGTTGAAGATGAAAGAGAAAGGCGATCTTGAAATCTGAAAGTCGCTTATTTGAAGAATAATTCTACTGTCACACTGTGAACCAGCGGCTGCCAGGCAGGATACGCCCACATTTTCGAGAGATGGATAGAAAACAAGCTAAAACGAAAGTGATTTTTCCTACAATCAAGGGCCATAATTCAGGAAATTAAAATTCGATATGCGCAAATATCGAAAGGAACCAAGATCTTTGGGTTATAAACTTGCCTTTTTAAGTTTCAACAAAATCGGATAAAAATTGTGACCTCTATAGGGTCCACAACCTTGATATACCATATTTTTACGCTATTTGAGAACGAAGGGCGGCCATTTTGTCTGTCAGTTTTGGGCCGATTTTCACGAAATTCGAACTCAGTCCTCCTTAGGGTGTAACGGTGATATAATAATACGTTTTTTTAAATTGGATAAAAATTATGACCTCTATAGGGTCCACAAGCTAAAAACGCGATTTTTCGTATAATCAGGGGCCATAATTCAGGAAGTTACGTTCCGATATGCACGATTATCGACAGGAACCGAGATCTTTGGGTTATAAGCATACATTTCAAGTTTAAACCAAATCGGATAAAAATTGTGACCTCTACAGTGTTCACAACCTTGATATACCATATTTTTACGCTATTTGAGAACGAAGGGCGGCCATTTTGTCTGTCAGTTTCGGGCCGATTTTCATGTAATTCGAACTCAGCCGTCCTTAGGGTGTAACGGTGATATATTAACACGTCTTTTTTTAAATCGGATAAAAAATTATGACCTATATAGGGTCCACAAGCCAAAAAACGCGTTTTTGCGTAATATCAGGGGCCATAATTCAGGAAGTTACAGTCCGATATGCGCGAATATCGAAAGGAAACGAGATCTTTGGGTTATAAACTTGCATTTCAAGTTTCAACAAAATCGGAAAAAAATTGTGACTTCTATAGGGTCCACAACCTTGATATACCATATTTTTACGCTATTTGAGAACGAAGGGCGGCCATTTTGTCTGTCAGTTTTGGGCAGATTTTCACGAAATTCGAACTCAGCCGTCCTTAGGGTGTAACGGTGATATATTAACACGTTTTTTTAAATCGGATAAAAATTATGACCTCTATAAGGTCCACAAGCCAAAAAACGCGTTTTTGCGTACAATCAGGGGCCATAATTCATGAAGTTACTGTCCGATATGCGCGAATATCGAAAGGAACCGAGATCTTTTGTTATAAACTTACATTTCAAGTTTCAACAAAATCGGATAAAAATTGTGACCTCTATAGGGTCCACAACCTTGATATACCATATTTTTACGCTATTTGAGAACGAACGGCGGCCATTTTGTCTGTCAGTTTTGGCCGATTTTCACGAAATTCGAACTCAACCGTCCTTAGGGTTTAACGGTGATATAATAATACGGTTTTTTAAATCGGATAAAAATTATGACCTCTATAGGGTCCACAAGCCAAAAAACGCGTTTTTGCGTACAATCAGGGGCCATAATTCAGGAAGTTACGGTCCGATATGCGTGAATATCGAAAGGAACCGAGATCTTTGGGTTATAAACTTACATTTCAAGTTTCAACAAAATCGGATAAAAATTGTGACCTCTACAGTGTTCACAAGCCAAAAACGTGATTTTTCATTATCCGTTCAAGACATATATTTTTGAAACTTTGTGCTGTTTGTTAAACATTAAACTTATACATCAGAAAATAAAACACTATAATAGTTTGATGTTTGTACAAAGTTTCAAAAATATATGTCTTGAACGGATAATGAAATATGCCCTGGAAATGAAATCGGGACGGAAAGACGGTTATCATAAAATTAAATAATAGGTTGATGAATGTAAATGTGTTATAAAGGTATCTTGAATAGTTCCTGGGATATGCTCTAGAATAATAATTATATACCAAAAACTAATTCAAATGTGTAGTAAAAATTCAAAAAATCATTCAGCAGAGAATTTTTTCCATGGAAACGCAAAAAATTATTAAATCCGACAAATTTCTAATTAGCAAACGGCACAACTACTGTAATAGCATGACGTGTGTGCAAAGTTTCAAACATATATTTCAAACGGTTTATAAGAACTGCTCCGGAAACAAAATTGTACATTAAAATTAAGTCAAATAAACACAAAAATGATTAAATCCCAGAAATTGCAAATTAGCAAAAGGTAAACTACTATAGTAGGTTAATGTTTGTACAAAGTTTCGTGAAGATATCTTGAATGGTTAATGAGATATGATCTGGAAACAAAATTGTAGACCAACGTCAAATTTGTTTCCATGGAAACACAAAAAATATTAATTCCAGAAAATTCCTAAATAGCAAATGACACAACTAGTATAATAGGTTAATATTTGTACAAAGTTTCATGGGATATCTTGAATGGTTTATGAGATATACCGCACGGAAACAAAATTGTACACCAAAAACTAAGTCAAATTTGTTTCATGGAAACACAAAAAAATATAAATCCCGAAAATTCCTAAATAGCAAAAGGCACAACTACTGTAATAGGTTGATGTGTGTACACAGTTTTAGAATGATATTTTGAACGGTTTATGAGATACTAGCAGAATGCCCGGCTTCGCTCGGGGGGGTCACAACTCCGAAACCGGAAGTGGTAGACTAACGCGACAAATTAAATTCTAAAACATTTTTTTTATGTATTGGAAAAATAAATAAAGGCGTTTGACGTATTTGTAGGTAAAAATTATTTCCTATTTAGTGTAAATGGGTATTAAAATGACTAAAATGCAGCATTCTCTCCGAAGCAGTAAGGTCTTATGTAAACAATGCACGCGCCATTCAGCCAATGATGGACGCCGCGTGCTGTGACAGCACGTGTTAAGGCAGTTATCTTTGACAGAGATATATCACTAGACTCGTAATTCTCTGTGAAACAGATTGCCGCCAACCCCGAACAGACAGACAGGCAGACAAACGACAGTCACAAATATTAGTATAGAAGATGGTCCGGAAACGAAATCGGGACGGACACATGTATGGACCCCATTTCAATATCCCTCCCTAACTTCATCGGCGCGGGATAAAAAGAAATGTGCTTCATGATATACTTGAACGAAATAAAATTTATTACTGTCCTTATCCTATTGTACTACCTCAAATGGGTGAGCATAGGCCAAATTATAATGTAAAACATTTGCATAGAAAATATGAAACCTAACATCATTTCAGACTGAAGCAACACATTTTACGTGAAGATTTACCAAACTGGGCGAAACTTACCAATTTAACGAGTTTAGGCATAAAGTAATAAGTAATAGATCTAAAACAGTAAACTGCTATAGTAGAGTATGTCTAAACAAACCTAGGCTAATCCCAAAAAAATATTTCATCAAACAGGGAATGTTTTTCATCAACATTTTATTGCATGGACGTGTGAACATATTTACCAGCTACGTTCCCCAAGAATATAAAATTACAACAGGACTCAATTAGACAATCTCTATTTATTATTGAGGTAATTCATAAATTATATGTAGCCAACTCACGTGCAATATTGCAATATATCTAAGTTTGTTTATAGACTTTATGTTTCTCTAGCTTCGTTTATCTTCTTATGTCGATAGAATAAATTTTATTTCGTTCCAGTTAATAGAGACGTACAATTTTTACTTTTAATGAAGCCTTCAATCTCGTTAAAAAAAAAAGACGCATTTTTATTAATTAGGCTAAACGACCCCACTTGTTTCTTGCATTCGCAAGTTCTCTTAATTAGAGATCAAACACCATATACATGTACTGCGCATTTATAAATAAAAGAGCTGGATATATGAATATTATACTGATGTTTTACTATACAGCATTTTGTTTGTAGATTTACTATTACTTATAACGTGTTCAAAATCATTTTTTTTTTATTTATTTATTTTTTTTTTTTTTTTTACATTTTTCTAAATTATATTTTTTTTCAGCCACGACCTATGTAGATAGAGGAGATCCATATAGTGACGGTCGCCTCCCCACTAAATGGACATTGATATCAGAATCTAAAGACAAAGCCCCGCTACATAGTATTGTATTTTCACCTACTATTCCTGGAACGTATGGTGTATACCATTTTATTGGAGGAGTTAATGGTTTTATTCTAGCCGAAGCCTATTCTAGCTATCTGAGTGGAATATCTGCACATGGGTATGCTACAGTAATGATGTTTACTTGAAATGAGACAAGTGACATAAAAGTTTCGTGCATGAGTATTTCATTTTTTGGGAATGTTCATATTGTATTTAACCATTCTAAATACTGATCATATTCATAGATAATGTTTGTCTTATTCAAGGTAAATATTGCTTTGCTTTGCATTAAGGAGGTACACACATAACAGTTTCCGTTATTCTATAAATTAAGTGATTGTCTGGACAAGGAGTCCCTCATATGTTTTTATACCCCCACATTTCTGTATGGACGTATTATGTCGTTACACGGTTCGTCCGTTCGTCAACAATTGGCCTGTGAACGTGGTTGAAGCTGCAGTTTTGAGGAATTTGTTTTGAAATTTAGTCTAAGTCATTGTGGTCATGAGAGGACGAACCCTATACATATTTGTTCAAGCTTGTCAACTCGATAGACATCAAAGTTTTTCTTTTTCGGATAAGCTGCTGTCGAGTATGGTGGCTGTTAGCGGCCATTCAAATGTCATCTAAATCGTCGCCTTATGAAGAAGGCGACAAATCGACAAGTCGACGAAATCAACCCGCAAACACGACAAAATAACCCGACGATCGTCGCCTTCATTTCGTCGACTTGTCGGGTCAATTCTGTCGACTTGTCGCGTCAACTTATTCACAACCCGACAAGTTAATCTGTGCGCATGCAAGTTATCCAATCAGCAAATGCGCAAGCTCGAGTTTGACTTCCGAGGCGACATGTCGCCGCACGACAAGTCGAAATAATTGTATTTTGTCGACTTGTCAGGTTGTGAATAAGTCGAAGGCGACAAGTCGACAGAATTGACCCGACAAGTCGACGATTTAGATTCATTTGAATGGCCGCTAACAGCCACCATAGTCGAGACATTGTACTGGTGTCGACATATTTCCACAGATATTTTACAGATTTATTTGTATTGGTGTAGATATTTTGTTCCCAGCCAAGAAGCGTGACCTCAGCAATGTTTCTGATATTGCAGATAAATATGAAATGAATATCAGATGGGTAAGCAAAGCAATACATGTCTTCCTGAAATTTGCCACATTCATACTAGGGTAATTTCGGTTTCGGGCCTCACTCTACTATTATAATATATGGTTTCGGGTCCCACTTTACTATTATGATATATTTTTATTACAAAAATTCACACATGCTCAGAAGTGCTTAGAGATGGGAGTAAATGGGGTTAAATAATGGAAAACTGACGTTAGGCGAATCTACCCCTTGCCTTGTCACGCCAAAAGAGAAGTTCGAAACCATGGCATGCATTGTGGTCTACATCGCACGGGTTAGATGAGTCTTTGCATCTGCATTTCAGTCTACCCAGATGATAATTTTGTTCTGTATTTACATTAACCTACCACACATTGCGAGTAGCTTAAAATGTAAGATTTAAAAACTCTGGGGTAAGGGGTGTTAGTTTGTTTTATGTTTTATACTCTTCTGTTGGTTTGAGTTTATTTGTTGTTTTTTTTTCGGGGGGGGGGGGGGGGGCAAAAACAAAACATGGTATGTAGTGTTGGTTTGTTCAATAAAATGGTTACATTCTAATATAAAATGGTAATATTATACAATTATAAAATGGTAATATTATACAATTATAAAATGGTTATATTATACTTATATTATAAAGTGGTAATATTATACTAATGTAAAATGGTAATATTATTCTAATGTAAAATGGTAATATATTAATATAATTAATTGGATTAAAAGGGTATAACCTTATACCCAATGCATATTTTTTACAGTTAGAACAGAATTTAACTACATTACAAGTACTGAATCCTGGTGTAGTAATTGACTGGACAAATATTGTTGTTGGAAGTCATTCAGAGGGGGCTGATAGTACACTGCTGATGTTGCAGAAGAATCATACCATCGCACGGGTAATGTAAAACAAACAAGTTCAGTCAAAATAAAGATCCAGACAACGAAACATACAGACAACGAAGCTAAGTTGTCCGTTCAGACCATAAAGGCTGTCACATTTTATGTCTTTGTTGGTAATGAGAGAATTTACAAGACACTAACAAAGTCTGTTTATAAATTTAAAGTCAATCGGGTGATAACTTTAGCCTCTAGAGCGTCCGCAAGATCCTTCAAGGTGACTACGGGTCATAACACAGGCAGCAATTCTTGGAAATGGTTCAAAGTCGATAGGATTTTCGTCTCTTGACCATAAACAATAATATGTATAAATTTAAAGTTAATCGGTAGACTGGACAACCAGCTCTAAATGGCGTCAGGCTCGTTCCTACGTCACTGCGCTATTCTGACTTCTATGCAAGTCAAAAAAGGAGTGACGTAGGAGCGAGTCTGACGTATTAGAGTAGGTTATCCAGTCTAAGTTAATCGGGTGATAACTAAAGACTTTTCAAAGAGATCAAGGACCATAACTCAGTCAGTAATAATCGGAAATAGCTGATAATCAATTGGCCCCTTTGTCTCACGACCATAAACAATATGTATAAATTTCAAGTCAGTCGGGAAATAACTTTCTAGAGCGTCCACGGACTGGCGTCCATTTCAATGGGGGCGTTAAAAGGCACTGTCATCTTTATTACTCGGAAAATCTTGAACTCAATTACAATGGACGTTACCATATCTGACACTGTGATAAACCCTTACATTGTCATTGTTACATACAAACTCACTTAACATGTCTATTTTCCACTTTTCAGGCTGTTGTGTTTTACGAACCATTTAGCTTTAGATTCATCAATAAAACCACTTTCTCATTGCCAGCTTTAATAGTAGGAACAGTTTTATCTAAAGAACATAGAGTCAAAATGCCACCCTGTGTTATCAATGGTTTGGGATTTGATCACTTTTATGATATGTGGGGCAAAGGGCCTAAATATTACCTGAATGTAAAGGTAATGACCAATTTAGATAGTTTGCCAGAGTAAAATTAGATTTGTTAGTTAAATACAAATGCCTCACTGGGGCCCTATCGTACTCCTCGCAGTGTTTCGTTTAATTATACCTAATCCCACTTAACAGTGCTGTAAAGGAAGCAAATTTCTGTTCCAAATTATGACTCGTCAATAGTACGATTAACAACCAATAGCTAACTGCGTAAAAATATCATTACACTTTAATTAAACAGAGATCCAAATTGGACCAAATATGTTTACATAAAGTTACGTAATGACTCCCGATTTAATTATGCCCAATTAATCAGTGCATAGAAGAATATTGCAGAAAAACTAATTGCGTGACAAACGAGGGTATCAAAACGAATACAATGTAAACAATACTGTTTGGAGACGAACAGTGTTTCCTCCTTTTTAATACCTTAAATCACTGTCCAAAGTTTTAGGGAAGACCCCAAAAGGCTGTCATGTTGCTGTACTTGGGATAGATTTGATTGAACGGGAAGAATAGACAAATGTACACTCTCTCAAAAAGTCAAGTATCAGAAGCCAATCCAGCAATGACCAAAGAGGGATTTCTCGGGCCATTGCTTAAGGAATATGTACATTTAATACGATCATAAATTTTGAAATATCAAGGTTTAAAGAAACGTATATGACCGCGATTACAAACAGTTAATAAAATGGTATTATGGTTACTAAACTCGACTTCAAGTCTCCAGCCGTTGCAGTTATTTTTTAACTACTGTCTTATGGTGCGTTATTCAAGTAATAACTGCCATGTAATTATAGTCATCCAGTCTTGTATTTATTGAATGCAGTAAGCATTGTGACATGTGTCACTTTTGCAAATGAATGTATTTAGGCTTCAATACAGTACCATTTCTTTCCTTTTTTCAGAATTTCGGCCATTGTGATATATTAGATTTTGATTTACGAGCTGGTAAGATACATTTGCAATCTTTCCAATACGAATTGCGGAGTAAGTGCCCTTGTCAGTATGACCAACCGAACACTATATGGACAAAGGCCTTTTCGGGGTTTATTTTTTACATTTAAACTTTATTCGTTGTTTTGTTACCCCATAACGAAGAATAATATCGACATCCAGTTTCCCCTTACAAAATGTATCCTGGTGGACAGGCGTCTATAACGTGGAAAATATTTCTAAAATAATGTCAAGCTATGACTAAGTTTCTCACCTTGGTATTATTATATCTACTGAAAGAGAATCGGTTTCAGACGAGTTATTTGCCCCTTTGTTACAAAGCGGAATCAGACCATTTATTTGATAATCTCCATTACGAACATGGAGGTAACAGACTTTGGACATTATACTTAGACATAGCTTAATGTTATTTATTTGCGCATAGGGATCTTTAGTAGTGGGAGGAAACTGGAGCACCCGGAGAAAAACCACGCACGTACAACCGGGAAATCGAAACCACGCCAGTTGACTCAATGAAAAACCTTATGATACAATGCGCACGCGCTAACCATTCGGACCCCCCCCCCCCCATCATGTTAAATGATAGTGAACAAAGTAGAGAAAGACCTCTTGAAAGCATGAAAGAATACTTGACGTCACTATACCACAAATTGCCCGAATTCCTCGTAACGGCAAATTAACATTAAAGTTGGGATAACAATTCACAAATAAACGGGAATAGTTTTGTTTCTTTGTTTCTGTTTTACATTTATTTTTCTCGTTCAGTTCTTGTATGTTTTCAGTTTGTCTAGCAATGAAATTATGCGAGAGTGGAAATGCAACTAGTATGGACCTGTACCATGATTTTACTATGGGTGTGACGTCAGCCTTTTTAATAAATACTCTCTATGGTTATGGAAGTGATCAGAAGTATTTCACAGATCAGCAATATATTCCAATTGAAATAGAAACTATTAAATACAATCTTACGTCAGTGTAATAAATCATCAAGGTTATGATGAATTAACAAAATATATTTATTGTGTTACTTCAATAATACCCTATTAAAACGACTGCATGTATAATATAGGAAACTCGAGCTTTCTTGGACATATCGTATATATCTTTATTTCAACATGCAGACTCAGATTCAACGTATCATTTAGTCAATGAGAAGGAGAGTTCAACAGGTGATCCAGGATACCGAAGGCCACTCCAGATATTGACTTTTTCACTGGTTTGACGATTGTATACATAACAAAAAAAACCCCAAAAATATGAATTGAAATGCGTCGAACTGTCGGATTTCCTATCGACCTATACCAGCAATAGCTGTTTGGACTTCGTTTCACCCATTTTCCACCTTATTTTTTGAACTGCAGACAATCACCTTAAATCCTCTACTTAGACTTTAGTTTTTGCCTTTTTTTATGCGTCAATGTTTCCGGGGTGCAGTCCAGGAAGACTGAATACCTTCCGGAACGTAAAACAGCTAACATATCTCATATTTGATCAAAACAGGAGTGTTGCGGCGCTCTTTTTTCTGCGTATACATGGAAACATTGATTAAATTCCATAGAAATCAAGTACACTGTAGAGATTTTCCATTTTGTATGTGACTGAATTCCCTAGTTTAACTATTTTTCTGTTAATCCAATGGTTGTTAAAATTGTGAATTATTTCCTTAATTACGTGTTTTGTGTTTTACGGGATAAATGGCGAAATGACCCGAAATTTACGGATTATTTTTGTTTGCCCATGCGCAGTTCACAAAGCATCTTCCATTTTGAATTGAATTTCAGAAGTTGCACGTGATGCACACCGACGTTACAATGTAAGTGTTACATTTGTGACAATCTCATGATCTGTCCCCATCGACGAAATGGGCTATACTGATAAGTAATGGAGACAACACGGAGTTAAATGGCCCTTATTCAACGAGTAACAATGACCCAACCTGTAATTATTGTATTGTTTTCATTTGTTTTGATAGAAATGTTATTACGGGGCCATTTTCTGGTTTATGGATTTTGAAATATGATTTTAAAAAATGGGAAAATATCCAAGTTTGCTTGAAAGATTATAATTTAACAATTGATTTATTTGGATTATAATAGGTACCTCAAGGGTTTTCACCAAGATTGTAGATGGGGCTGGTTTGCTTTGACCATTTCTGGTTTATATCACCTGTGCTTAATATTTGAAGAGAAATGAATCATTTTTGGATTGATAATGCTAACCATAGACTTTAAAGAAGCATGTGATTACTTTTGTAAATAAATGTCCAATTATATCGAAAATTAGCGATTAAATAAGTATTTCATTATTTAGTACCCTTTGATCTGACTTACATAAGCTTATGTGACATCTATTCAGTGCAGTAAATCTTCTGGTGTGTGTCCGAGAATGTGTCAAATCAGGAGAATTAACAGATTCATCTGGGTGTAATTTCGCTATAAAAACTATCAAAATTACTGCAAAAGCTCCGGGTAGGATGTTAATATTTGGTTGATTGTCTGAATTATTTGGGTTGGGTTTTACGCTCTTTACGCTCAAAAATATATGATTTTACCTTCCCGCGCAAAATTTAAAACTTATATTACGTTAATACTGGCTGGCCCACAACAATAGCTTTAACAGTTGACCGCGTTCTCAAGGGCCAAGATAAGATACTTATAAAACATAGATAGCTCTTTTAGAAATATCTTTTGACCACCAAAACAACATGTCTGTTTTTCTTGTCATTATGGCAACCATCTGCCTTACAGCAGGTATTTTTTAAAATTATATTGTAGAATTCGTGTTTGACAATTGTCACCGGAAGAAAATGCAGTCGCATCCGGGGAGCCACGGTTCGATCCCGGAGATGTCCGAGACATATTTCAGCTGACACTGATCGTGTCTAATCCATCGAATAATATGTAAAACCGGTGTCCCGTGTACACATTGGCGTATACGTAACAAAAACCAATGACAGGTTGGAGCTGAAATACGAGTAAACCGTTTAAGGTATACCGGTCTTCATCGGCCCATTTAGTGCAGAAGAGTGACGTTAAACCCCATTTCATTTTAGTTTGCAGTCTTATTACACCGCATGATAATGAGTCTTCGATTTGCAATGATTTAACAATAAACAATTTAACAGTTAGTTGGATGTAGAGTTATTTTGAATATAAGAAATAAATTGTATTTATTTTCAGTGATAATACCCATAAATGCTGCATTATGAATTGAATAATTACACAAAACCACAGTTTCTAGTTGAAACCGCAGTCTCTTGAAATAAGATGTGATTTATGTATAATTTAACAGCGGTTTATTGAAAATAAAACTCCCGTTATCTATTATTAAACTGATAAGGCTTACTGAATGTCAGTGATAGACAAATTTTAAAAAGTATCCCAATCTACCTATTACAGTGTTCTGGTACTACATTGCTTGCCTATCTAAGGGTTTTATTTAAAGTTCTTGGGTAAATTTGGTTTATCTTCGAGTAGGATTTCGGTGAAATTCTTAAAGCTTCGACACTGTTTTACGTGGAGCTATACGTGACTCTTGGAGCCTGTTACAACCCCTATTGTAATAACAAACCCTATTGTAATAAATGTAATAAAATTTCAATTAACCCCTATTGTAATATCAATCCCTATTGTAATAAATGTAATAAAATTTCAATTAACCCCTATTGTAATATCAATCCCTATTGTAATAAATGTAATAATTGTTATAAAATTTTACTTAACCCCTATTGTAATAACATTCCCTGTTGTAATAATTATAATTAATATATTTTACCATACAATAAATTCGACATCTAAATTTAAAAGTCAATGGATTTTGAAAACCCATTGAATATCAATATAATAGGAGAAATGGTATGCGTTTATACTGCATATAATATTATGAAACAACGCAACGTGATTAAAAGCCGTTAACGAGTTTGGAGAAATTATTAAAATGGAATGCTAGCCCATATTGTAATCAACGATATTTAAATAGGGGTTAAACGGTATAAGCCCTATTGTAGTAAAATTTATGTCAACCCCTATTGTAATAATTGTAATAAATGTATTTTGCCATGTCAATAAAATCGACACCTAACTTTAAATGTCTATGGATTTTGATCACCATATCCGTATCAATATATAAGATAAAATAACCCCCTTGATTCCGTTTTTTTTAAATTCTACTCTACAGTTAGACACATTTATTACAATAAGGATTGATATTACAATAGGGTTACGCGGTATAACCCCTATTGTAATAAAATTTCTGTCAACCCCTATTTAAATAATTGTAATAAATGTGTTTTGCCATGCCAATAAAATCGACACCTAACTTTAAAAGTCTATGGATTTTGATCACCATTTCCGTATCAATATATAAGATAATGGTATGTCTTTATACTGTATAAAATATTATGAAACAAAACCACCGAAACATGTCTCAAAACCGTTTGGAGAATTATTAAAATTAAATGTCAACCCTTATTGTAATCAATGATATTTGAATATACGTAAAGTATGTTCTCTGAAAATTCTGTCGTCTGAGGATTTTGAACATCTTTTCCTTGTGCATATCAGATAAAATAATCCCTGGTAGCATTTTTTAAATCCTTCTATAAACTTAGACACATTTATTGCAATAGCGGTTGATATTACAAAGGGGTTACACTGTATATCCCTTATTGTAATAAAATTTATCTCAACCCCTATTGTAATAAATGTCTTTTGCCATACCAAATAATAGACATCTGAGTTTAGAAGTCTATGGATTTTAATCTCCATTTGCGTATTGTAATAATTGTAATAAATGTTTTAGCCGTACCAATAAATGCTATCAGGAGGATTTAAAAAATGCTATAGGGGGGTATTTTATCTGATAGGCCTATGCACACGGAAAGGATGTTCAAAATCCTGAGAAGACAGAATTTTCAGTCAACATACTTGACCTTTATTTAAATTGGTTACAATAGTTGATATATACTCGTAACGTATCTACCAGAGAGAAAATGCACATGTTAAACTTGCGCTCATTCACAGATAGATAAATAATTAAACTTCGAAATCTTATTTTTATTTTATCTTTTTAATTCTGAAGCTTTTTATAAACTTCGTTAATTATATGTCGTTTTTCAGCCACACCGTATGTTGATATGGGATATCCATACCTGGATGGTCGACTTCCCATCACAAACACCTTTATATCAGTATCTAAAGACAAATCCCCTTTACACAATATTGTATTTTCACCTTCTATCCCTGGTACGTATGGTGTATATTATTTTATTGGAGGACTAGATGGTTTGGTGCCAGCTGAGGCATATACTGGATATCTGACTCGAATATCTGGACATGGGTACGTTACAATGATTCCCATTTCTTTGTATTTTATAAACAAGTTTAGAAACAGTCAAGTAGGTCTCGGATCGAGGGTACTATATTTTATTCTGAATTCTTGAAGTTGTTTGGTGTATTTGTGTTTTAGTTAAGTAGAAAGATGGAGTATTTTATCTGGGGATCTTTTTAACTTCGTCTTTTTTTTTTTAAATTCAGATTCATTTGTATTGGTGTCGATATTTTGTTTCCAGCAAAGAAACGCGGCCTTGGTAACTTTTTCGATTTCGCAGATAAATTTGAAATGAATTTCAGATGGGTAAGCAAATAAGTACATTAGCACTGTAATTACCAAGATTCCATATAATAGTGCGGTGTGTTTGACCACGAGGTTATCTTCTATAGCAGTAGACATCCAGGTTCACACTATTGTTCATGCTCTAAACAGTCACAGCTGTGGGTTTCACATATTTTGATATATTTTTGTACTTTCACTTGCATCAAATCATGAATCAAACTACTGTGTATTTTAGCATAAATCCTACGTCTTTTTATTTTGAACTTTTCGTATTGTTTAAGAGGGGGGTGCAATATTGTTTAATAAAGTGTACATTATTTCCAGTTAGAACAGAATTTAACGGCACGACTTGATCCAGGAGTAATACCCGACTGGTCTAAAGTTGCTTTTGGAAGTCATTCAGATGGGGCTGATGGGGCATTATTATTGGTGGAGAGGAATCATACCATGGCACAAGTATATATCTATGAATATTAATCTTAAGATCTAGACTTGTGTCTGTGTATATTATGCTTTCAATTTTAAACTTGAAAAATACTGTTGAATTAATTAAAACACATATATTTAACATATGTTGTACAATTGGTTAGTTATACAAATAGAATTTTAACATAAGATATCTTTGGTAATGTTTCTTTTTATTTAAATAAATGAAATGTATTGAAATGGGGTTTAACGATGAACTGTTCTGCTCCGATCGGGCTAATGAAGACGGGCATACGCCATACAGTGTGATATGCGGGATATTTTGCCCGGACAGCGGTATACTCTATTTCGAATTCCAAATGCCAAGGGTTCTTTTACGTGCGCGCCAATGTGCACATGTGGCCTTGGACTTTCGCCCCATTCGAACAACTATAAGTTGTCCCTCTCCAAGCCCTCTGTCCTTCACCACAGACAAAGAGAGGGGAGCCACGCCGGAAAATCCAGATATTTTATTCACAGAAAAGGATTTAGGAACAGGTAAGGCCTATGTAACCACTGCAATTATCTTTTTGTTTTAAACAAATGGAACTTGATAATTAAAGTGCTATATATGTCTTTATTTCAGGCTGTTGTGTTTTACGAACCATTCAGTTTCAAATTCATCAATAAAACCACTTTCTCATTGCCAGCTCTAATAGTAGGAACAGTTTTATCTAAAGAACACAGAGGCAAATTGCCACCCTGTATTATCAATGGTTTCGGATTTGATCACTTTTATGATATGTGGGGTAAAGGACCTAAATATTATCTGAATATAAAGGTAATGTTGCTTGTTTGGTCCTTGGTATTCTCTAGGCTCGATTATTGCAAGCATGCTTTGATTGGAATTTCAGAAGTGAAGCAATGTTAGCGGAGCATGAAATCTGTCATCGCACCTGGACCAGATAGGATTGAAACTGATTTTAACCAGTATTAAAAATCCATTGCCCCGCTACATAAGAAAGGTTTCAAACTTGGCATCAATTAAAGAAGTATTTCATTATTTGATAGATTCGAAAAGGTTTAAAACGCAGATTTCAAGCAGGTTCGGACACGATATTACACTTAATTGGTCATATTTTTACATTCGAGGTCTTGTTAAAGTGGGTATGGCTCAATAATCTTTGGAACCTTAAAAATACGAAAATTGAAGCACGTATTTTAATATAAATGGAATATGGATGTATATGAAGTTATTTATATTCAATTTTTAAATTTGCATTGTAATTTATAATCAATTATGTTAGGTGAAACACTTTAACTGTCCAAATTGAAAGGCAGTCGATACCGCCTGCTTAGTCCATTCTACATTTTTTAAATTATTTTTTTGTCGTTTTTGAACCACCCATTACTAATTACTTCCGGATTGCCTTGTAGGATATTTCGTGCTTTGTTCATTGCAAATTGCACCCGAAACCATATTGTACAGACTCGTGTACAGACTTTAATATGTTCACTGTGTCTTGAATATTGGATATATTATTAGGATCCTATATTTTCACCGCAAGATAACATCAATATTGATTGAAATGGACCAATATTGAATTCTAATTTCGAGTATTATGGAAAATATTGAGGTACAGGCAGTGGCGGCGCCAGCCGTCGGTAGTTGGAGGGGCAAAGCTGGGGCAAAGTCCAAGGTTAAGGGGGCAAAGGCACAAGTTTTAACTAGGGGTATGGGGGGGGGGGCTCACCCAGAAAATTTTGAACAACGGGCTGCCAAAAATGCAGCCTGGCAGTATTTCAGGCACTGATCGTTGAAGTACAGTGTCAGACGAACGGACTTGCTAACCTCGACGAAGCCCACTCACGAGCGCCAACGTAGGGAGTCCTTACGGAGGGTATGAGGGACCTTCCCCGAAGAATTTTGAAAAATAGATTGTCGGAAAGGCTGTCTTGACAGTATTCAGTCAGGCACCGATCAACGAGACAAATAGATCTGACCAGATACGTTTCGTGGACTAATCACTAGTTTATCCGACCAGAGAACAAAATGTCAAACGAACGGACTTGCGAACCTCAATGAAGTCCCCTTGTGAGCGCCAAAGTAGCAAGTCCTTCTGGGGGGTATTAGGCACCTCCCCAAGAAAGTTTTGAAAAATAGACTGTCGGAAATGCTGTCTGACAGTATTCAGGCACCAATTGTAGTGATAAATAGAGCTGATCAGATGCCGTCTCTCGCTTGATCACTTGTCTCCGACCAAATACTTTTTTTATTTTCTAAAATTATTGGGGTGGGGTCGGGCAAACAGAGGGCAGACCAGATTTATGGGGGGGGGGGGCTGGCGCCGACATTGATTACAGGTTTAGCTCCTTTAAGAAATATACATCATAATATTGTTATTTTGTTACTTTTCAATACCCGCCGACTGTGTACACTTCAATCCTAAGATTGATTTGAACATTACTCTTTACTAACAATGTCTTACGAGTTCACCAGAGAAATATTTTCGGTTCCATTTTGTTCTGTACAAAAGGTCTTCAATCCCCCTATCATATTGAATAAACATATTATTTTTACCATGATTACATTTTTCAGAATTTCGGTCATTGTGATATTTTGGATTTTGAAATACGAGATGGTATGTTGCTTTATTTATAGTTTTACAATCGGACAATTTTACGCTACTCAAGAAACTTCTATCTCATAAAACAGCGGGTTATTTCTCTTGTTACTAAAACTTTTTGGCATTCATGTCGGCATTGTTGGAAAGAACAACAAAGCAGATAGTGGAAAAATATATTAGAAATTACAAACATGTACGATCTAATAACCAATTAAATAATATACTTCAAAACCATAATTTAGCTGTCGACGGGCATGTTTCATTAACATACAAATGATTTCACACATCTCTTTATGTTTACAGTTTGTGGGGGAGCAAACATATGTGAGAGTGGAAATACTACCAATATGAATTTGTACCATGATTTTACTATGGGGGTGACGTCAGCTTTTATGATAAATACGCTCTATGGTTATGCAGATGATCAGAAGTATTTCACAGATCAGCAATATATTCCAATTGAAATGGAAACTATTAAATACAATCTTACGTCAGTGTAAATCATTGAGATTATGATGAATGAATAAAATTATATTGAAATGGGGTTTAAAGTCCTACTTTTGTTCTCCGACCGGGCTAACGAAGTCGAATTGTGTGTGACATCAAAATAATTGAACTACCGGATAAATATTAGGCAGTGGCACCAGTGCCGAATTTAGTTGAAGAGATGTCCTAGGCTATTTCACTTATGAGGCCCCCTTCCAATTCGCCACCTTCACGACGAGTCGGAGATGAAAGTGTGTTTTAAAAACAACTGAGCAAAGCCGAGGTTGGTGTATATTCCTGAAGCAATGGCCCGAGAAATCCCTCTCTGGTCATTGCTGGATTGACTTCTGATCCTTGAGCTTTTGGGGGAATGTGTCTATTCTTCCCTTTCAATCAAATCTCTCATTTTTAAGTACAGCAATATGAGAACCCTTCGTTTAATCTGGGGTCTTCCTTAAAACTTTGGACAGAAATTTAAGGTATTAAAACCGGCGAAAGTATTGTTCGTCTCCAAGCAGTATTGTTTACATTGGGCCGTTTTGATAGCCTCGTTTATCACGCAATTAGTTTACTGCAATATTCTGCTATGCACTGGTAAATTGGGCGTAATAAATTTCGTGAGTCATGACGTAGGCTAACGTCATATAAACATATCTGGAGCTCTGTTTAAACTCGAATGATATTGTTATCCAGTTAGGTATTGGTTGTTAATCGGAATATTGACCAGTCAGAATTTAGAACAGCAATTTGCTTTCGTTACAGCAGTGTTTGAGTGGGATTAGGTCCAATCAAACGAAACACTGCCAGGAGTATGAGGTTGATGACGGAAGGTTAAGGCTACAGTGTGTGTAAGAAAATACTATACACCTTGGCCGGAGACACCCCAAGATCGTGAGTCCCTCTAAGTGGCTCGTGAGTACCAGAGACTACGGCGTTGTCATCTGAATGTCGATTTACCACTTGGGAAAAGCTTGACTAGAACAAATAGAGGACGCATAAGTCACATTGGAAATAAAACGTAGAACTCTTAAGGAGTACTGACGTGTTTGGGTATGTCACGTCACGTCACGCATGTCACATCAACATTCAAGTTACATCATAAATTATGGAGTATAGTAATATCCAATACCTAATAAAGTGGAAAACCTGTCATTTTGAACTCTTAATAAAACCGGAAGTTATACTTCATGACCATACTTCACCAGGAAACCGGAAGTAAACAAAATCGAAATTAAAAAATCGGCTCCCCAAGGATTGTTGCCATTTGGAGTAGGATCAATACAAAAAAAGTTTTCGAAAATCGGAGTTAAAATGGTGACTGAATATCGATTTGAATGTTTTTTGTAAAATCCAATATGCCAGCCAAGTGGTTGAAAATGTTATGGAACAAAATCTTTGAAAATGAAAGATAATATCTGGGGCTAACACCACCATAGGTCATTTTCTGTCTATATTTAAAATGGAGAGAACTATTCATGTTCGGAGAAAATCGGAAGGCCTCGGTAATTTCCGGAAGCCGTGACAAAAAATTTTAATATGCCATTTTGAAGGCATCGATGTGTTCCTTATTCCTACCAATAAGTTAAAACACTCCCTGTTCATCAAACATGACCCAATTTATATTAAAATTTAATAAATAGATCTACGAAGGCCAACCACCTCTACATTGGCAGAATGTTTGCACCATGTACAATTTTGGCTGCACAAACTTAATAAATTCCCCCCCCCCCCAAAAAAAAATAATAAAAACACTTACAGAAACAATACGTGTTTCGACCGAAGATCCGAAACACGTAATTGATATTTTCTTTGGGCAACAGATACGCGTGGCAGAAAAAACTCAAGCATGGCACTTCCACAAAACACATAAAGGAGAAGCGTCGTGGGGGAATTGTTGAACACAAGTAGGGAAATATAAATAAAAATCCAGTCCTAAATTCATAATATAATGCCGAAGATCACGCGGTAGCTCAATATATTACTATGTTCCGTGCTTGAATTAAAACCGTTATAAATGTTCAAGGCGTTGGTAGCATATAAAATTGAATAATAGTAAACTGCAAGTTATAAATAATTAACATTTTAGCTACTGGAAGGTGTAACGTATGAATAAATCTTGGAGAGATGATGCCAAGGTAAAAGGCTAAATGTACATTCTGGCCTAAATGATTAATTAGAAATTTTGTCACTGACAGGCATATAACAAGTACGATATAGTAGTGTATAAACCAGGAACCATCATATCTATCGTAATTGAATTAGCGGAGACATGGGCTTTTTTGGAGGACCTCCGCCCCAAGAAGAACAGTATAGAAATAATGTACCCTGTCCTGGTATGTAGTGCTATTTCAAAATAACGGTAAACGGTAATAACTTGAGAGGAAATCAAAATGGAACTATATAAGTTAATAAAGCTTTAAATATATCTAAATCGCCCATCTGAAAGCCCAATACAAATACACAATTATTATTAAAAAGGTGTCTATTCCATGGAGAATGTACCAGTCTGGTAGTTGAAAGCCGGTCGTGATGATTTTTTCAGATGAATCGTTTAATTATTAACTAAATAATTGTCAGTTTATTTTACCCAAAGCCTGCCATTGATGTTTAGCAATGTTTAAAGGAGAATCTCGTGATTAGGTTATTAGTGACAGAAAATACATTGAAATTATGTTATCTGTTCTGGGTGTGGCATGAGTAATGAAAACACAAAGCACAATATCTTGGGATAATTTGATTACCTTTGGGTATTAAAGTTACATATCCTCCTTTTGTTCCTCGTCTCCGGGGAGGAACACGGGAATAGGCGTTAATATGACCATTCATTGTGAGCTGCTTTGCGTGGGTAATTTGAAAAATGACTCCCTCGTATAGGATAAGTTGGTTCAATATAATTGGATGTACTGTCGTTAATAAAAGCTGAAGAGAGTTATTAGAGCATTCTATTATGACACCAACATCCGACCAAATACAGGTAAAGATTTAGCTTGATTTACTTATTAATACTTACCAATAACATGGTGAATTTATATTTAAATATATCTTTTCAGGAAAACGGGTTTTTTTTATTATTAATGTTTATGCATAGCTTATTATTTAATTTTATTTTATATTTAATAGCACAGTCACTTATTCCAAGAGTATTTTTAATATTTACTTATTCCAAGAGTATTTTTAATTTTTAAACAAAAAGATAATTGTGTTAATATTGTTTCAGAATTTTAAACAGACCCATATCATGGCCCATAGAAACATTTGGATTTTAATATGTGCTTTTACGATATTATCAACGGTATATAATTCACATGCCGCCATTTTGAGACCAGATTGGTATCCATATTTTCAAGATTTAAATCCAGAATCTAATTCTAGTAAGTATTCACAAGGAGGAAACCTCGACCACTGCAGTTTTATTATATATTATTCATTATGTGTATACGCTACTTCTGTAATTAACTGGACTTAAGACTGTCGGTCATTATGGTCACGCCGTAACTATGATACCCAGTACCATCAGCTTTGCTATCTAGGTCCAGACTTTTTAGTTTTATTAATTGTATTAGCGGTCTCGTAAACAAGGCAATGTATGATTACTATTTTTAAAACACTAGATACAACTTCTTTTTATGGGTTCACACAGCTAACAAACTGTTATCTTAAAATTAGTTTTAACCATTATATGCCAATTTAGCCGCCAATCTTGGCTGTCCGATAATTCATCACCTATGGAAGCCAGGGAGCTCTAGTGTTGTCAATATATATTTTTAAGTCCTTTCTTGGCTAAAAGGTAATTAACGTAGCCCAAAATTATAAAATGTATACGGTAATAACAAATTCTGTAACCGGGTCAATACTGGCAGTTGAAATGTCGGATCACTTTCACATATGAATTAGCAGCTCAGACAAGTGTCACGAATCATCTCGGGATATGGCAATTAATTGTATAACATCATAACCGAAATTATGTAAAATTCACAACTGCAAAATTGGAAAAATCAGAAAGGCGATATCGAGATAAATTCAATAGTTTACGTACTAATTCAGTCTTATGCCAGCCTGACAATTGCATGATGTTTGTCACCGCTTTGAGACGTAATGGCACTACTTTTTTACGCATAGGTGAAGTATTGTTCGCGAATTGTTCGTCTATGTCGTTTGTAGTGGATTCCCATGGCACGCACTGATACGTATTGATACGCACCGTTGGCAGTGTTCGCGCCGAGTTCGTACAGTGTTCACGCATGGTTCACGCCCATGGCGCCAAATTTTTTGGAAATTTCAAAATTCTCTCTACGGCATGGCACGAAGACTTTAATCCTTGATACGCCTTTGCGAGAACAAAAATCTTGCAAGTGTCATAAGTGACTTTAGTAATACATTGTCGCCTTTGCTTTTTCATTACACGAGAGAGAATTGGGCGTTCGTCCTTTTATTTTTGCCCTCCGGTCGACAGCGACGTAATTGGAAAGGCACAACAATTATCACAGTGCTTCCATTTACTTTACTTTCGCATTGTCGCCTTCGCTTTCTAAACAGGACGGCGATAATCCGCCCATCTTGTCATCATTGTCGCACTTTTGAAATCTTTTCCCGTGTTACAAGACGCAAACTAACTGTGTGTGATCGTATGAATTTTAAATGCGAAATGGCTCAAAAACATGCTTTTTGTACTTTGCATCAGTATGCTACCAAGAATGTAAATTATCATACGGATATTGCAATGTTTGAAATATATTCAGTAACTGTTGTGAAAATAACTTCATGTTTATTTTAAATAAAATAAAATAAACAATTTAGTAAATATTTTCAACTAACTCTTAATTCTATGTTTGTTTTGACTAACTGTTATGTCCGTTTTTTGAACAAATGCTTGTGCCGTTTCAAATTCAGGTCGTTTCGTCTATAGCCCTTAAAAAAACCCACCGGTATTTTTAATTTCACTGATTTTTTTGTTGGGTCTCTTTTTGATGAAAGTCTGGAGATTATCTACCGTTGATATTTAGATTCTGTTATTTTAATTAAATGTTAACTAACTGGGTTGAGTTTATTTTAACGTTGATTAAGCCGTAGAAAATTTGATTTTTTCGGAAAAATGCTAATATGAGTTGGGGGGGGGGGGGTATTATATGGTTTATAATTTAGCATATTGTTAACTCTCCTAATAGTAGCGTAAATAGGTAGTCACGGTGGTTCGGTGAGTAACGTTGGCTCGATGACGTGGAGGTCTCGTGTTCGATACCGGTGTTGGCCGAGAAAGTACGTCTGGATGTTCAGGCCCGGCAAGGTTGCCCTTGTCAGTGATGTTGAACCGAGTGCCCGGCAGGGGACAACGCATATAATAGTGTAATATGAATGTAAAAAACAATTTACTGTTTTTACTGTGATTTCTACAGAAATGTTGGACGAAATACGCGAAAAGTCCAAATTGAATGGCAGTCTTTGGTGACTAGTTATTCCAGTCTACACCGGTAGTATTCTCCTGTGGCGCTACGAAACCATTCTGGCACGCGATTCGTGTGCAAATTTTAAAATGTTTCGTTTTGTCTTATATATTGGATACCACGATAAGATACATCAATGTTGATTTAAATTGATCAATAATTTGTGTTTGCAATGTCGAAGACTATGGAAGATACTGAGTTCGAGGCTTGCCTTCTGTAAACTTCCACTCATATTTTGTAAATTTTTGCGTTGTTATTGTTTTATAAAGGACTGCTTTGTCTCAACACTACGATGTGGGACTTTCATTTGAACAAAGTAAACTGCTAATTCCCTTATACCTTCAATAAATATAGCATGACGTGTAAAATATATCATACTACGCCTGGAACACTCATGAATGTAATTCGGGTTTTAAATTCATTAACAAGACGTACGAAGTCATAAAGTACCATTAGATTCTGGCATGTGTATCATACACTGCAAACGATATCGCTGCAGGAGAAGGCAGAATTTATTAGATGAAAATTGTTATTGATCTCCAAAACAAAATTGTAGATTAATAGTTTTAACTAAACATACATTAAGCAAGGGCTAAATCTGCCTATTGCGGGTCTTTCTTTCGGCCTTAAATGTTATATAACTATTAGATATTTATTAGCATGACAAGACCATAATCATCTCTCGATATCATCTGATGGGCACGATTTTAACCAGATTTGAATCCGATCTGCGATGCAACGGCTGTTCATGATTAACCGTAAAAATGGATAATCGAGACTTTGTTTATTATCATAACACCGGTAACATTGGCAATCGATGCTACAGAGATTTTGAAGTAATTCGACTGAAATTTTCAGCATTTTCACTTTACGTTATCTTTTTTATATAACTATTATAGCAAGAACTGTCATCTCTTTATCTAATCTCACATAAAGCCTCTTTAATGCCAGAACGACTTGTTTAAAGAATATTAAAATCCACGTTATTAGTTCATTTGTTTCTCAATGTAACTTTATATGACAAACATATAATATGTATATATGGTAATTCTAGTTGCTCAATATCACGCGTGTTACTTCTAAATTTTCAATGGTATCTTCCATTTCAGCATTATCGTTTACCTTAAACAGATCTGATTTCAGTGGACTAGATCATCCCCAATGGCTTTTGAATGTCTATTGTGAACTTTTACTCGCATTTCGTGGATAATATCTATTTTTATTTTCACGGTTTAATTTACGCTAACATGTACTCGATTTGACAATTTAGCCCTTAATTTAGAAAATCAATTTAAAATATGAACGGTAAATAATTCCCCGACTTTGATTCAGTCCAACAAAAATTCTTAAAAAATACTGGCCAGAAATTAACTATTTTCGAATTGATATTCATTTCACATTATTGTGATTAAATTTCACTCAAATGACAACCAGAGGCTCTTATACGAGATATTTTATACTTTATGTCTGCTGTATTAATAACTTTGTGACGTCGGACATATATGGAGTGAGTACTTATGAGACAACCTGTAAACTTAAATTTTTTGGACCAAGACCCGGTCCCCAAGCGCTACTCATTTTCTTGTTGTTATTGAGGCGACGCCCTTCGAAAATAGCCTAAAGCGGTCCATACACGTTCAATTTTTCCGTCAATTACTTGATGGCAATTAATTGATATCAATTAATTGCCGAAATTGACCATGCCCACGCACGATCAATCTTTTAGCGCCAATTTTCATTCTGATCGAAAACTTCGAGATGGAAGCATATCCGGCACTAGCACACACGGTCTTTTTAATTGACGAGCCGTCAATACATATCTTAGGAACTTTGATCCGTCAATTAATTGATTCAATTAAATTGTTTCAGTTAATTCACCGTCAATGTAATCCATACAAGTTCAATTTCTTCGTCTTTTAATTGATGGGCCGCTTAAGGTTCCACCAATTCATTACTATGAAACCTGACATGATCCTTGGACAATTGACGTCTCAATTCTAAGATAGCCAGTTCCTGCTCCTTAAGTACGGTGGTATTTGTTCATAAAGCGACCTTTGTATCGAATTAAAGGGTGCAGGCTGTTTCGTAACCTGTCTGTTTTGTACTTAAGTTCATTCGTACCTCACATTAGCCGTTTCGTACTCCACTTCGGACCTCAAATTATTTGTACCTTTTCCTATGTTGTTGAAATCAGTTGAAAGAAATTGAATATGCCTAACCAGAATTAGAATATGCACAAGATTTGTACCTCAAATTGATTAGTTTCTTTTCCTAAATGTGGTTGAAATCAGTTGAAAGAAATTGAAATAAAGGTGAAACATAATTAAACGATTTGATTAAATCCAACGGCTGCGCTAAATTTATGAAAATGTACCTCAAAATTGATTCGTACCATTTCCTATATGTTGTTGAAATACGTTGAAAGAAATTAAAATAAATCTATATGTTGTTGAAATAAATTGAAATAATAAACGATTACCTGCCCCTTTTTTTAATCTGGTATTGATTATCGAACACATTCTGCTCAGTGAGTTGTATTTATTGACGACAATTGATTGGTGATTGTTAAAGTAGTTTAAAAACAATTGAAAAATATTTAATCTAGTGTTGATTATTGAACACATTCTGCTGAGTGTGCTGTGATTGTGATTTGTGATGATTGACGATAATTGATTGGTGGTTGTTAAATCGGTTAAAAACGAATGAATATACTAAGAATTCCAAAATGCGACACGTAATGTATTATTCATTACATAATAAACCTTAAATCAATTGAACTCATTGTAAGGTGGAACTGCATGCTTTCTGATATGGTTGGGTTATTTGAGCCTAAAAATAGAACACAGCAAGTCTCGAAAAGGTGCCTACTTGTGAAGATGGGCGTACGCGTTTCTTTGATCTGTTATATCATCGACCGTATACATGGTTATATCACAGGGTAATTCTGTAATTGAAACCCAATTGCATGAAAATGGCTTTCGATTGTAACCGATGTAAATTTAGTGAAATGCTGAAGCAATTTTAGTTTAAATATATGCCCTGTGTGTGAATTACTACTATTGGGCAGGCTGTGTTGTATTATCAATATGGAAATTTCTGTTTTATGGATTTGCATCGTGGCGCGTTAATTTTTTTCTTTTTAATATTTTAACAGACTGTGGTATATTTTAAATGTTTCATATTCAAGTAATTATCAATGCATACAATTCGCTTTTTGTTATTAAATCATCGTCGCTAATTCTCGTTCGGCAGCCATTTTTATAAAAAAATGTTCTTTTTAATATTTTAACAGACAGTATATTATATGATTTAAATGTTTCAGATTCATGTAATTATCAATGCATACAATTCGCTTTTTGTTATTAAATCATTGTAGCTAATTCTCGTTCGGCAGCCTTTTTTTAAAAATTGTTCTTTTTAATATTTTAACAGACTGCGGTATATGATTTATGTTTCATATTCATGTAATTATCAATGCATAAAATTCGCTTTTTGTTATTAAATTATCATAGCTAATCCTCGTTCGGCAGCCAATTATTTTTAGCGCAGCCGTTGTATTTGATCAAATCGTTTAATTATGTTTCACCTTTATTTCAATTTCTTTCAAGCACATTTAGGAAAAGAAACTAATCAATTTGAGGTACAAATCTCGTGCATATTCTAATTCTGGTTCGGCAGCCATTTATATAAATTTAGCGTAGCCGTTGGATTTGATCAAATCGTTTCAACTTTATTTCAATTTCTTTCAACAACACAGGAAAATGTATAAATCAATTTGAGGTACGAAGTGAAGTACGAAACGGCTCATGTGGGTACGAATGAACTAAAGCTGCGTTCACACTAGGGGTTTAATCTGAATTGAATTCAGAATAAAGCCTTATTCCGGACTTTGGCGTCACACTCAATTCGATAAAAACCGAATTGAATTTGAATTAACGAATCCGTATATTTTTCCGAATTCAACTCGGAACAATTATTCCGAATCGGGTTATTCGCAGTCAAGATTTGAGTGTGACACGCTTGATTCAGATCAATTTTACCAGAAACGATAACTTTGCGCGCATGATGGTGTGTAGCCTATATAGCTGCAGCCCTTCGACTTGAGACGACTAAAGCTTACCTGCCCATCCCCCAAGGTCTAGACCGTGAATGGTCAGCTGTGATCTGAATTCGAACACTTCTATCTTTGTATTTGAAATGTGGTCGTATATTGTCGTCGCCCCCGCCCGACATTAAAGTTTATTCGGATTGAATTCAGAATGAAAAGCGCTACACTGAATGCGCAGTGAAGGTCATTCATATCCAAGATGGATGCGCCAGACATTCGTATTGGTGATCTTGTGTTGCTTATGTTTAATTTCCCGAGGCAAGCAAGGCTACATCCGCGACGCCGGGTGTTACATCTTCGATACCTTGCCATACATCAACACGTATGTACATGTACTTCACTTTTGACTCTGTACCAGCGAAGATACATTTCATAATTGAAATGTTATGAAATGGGGTCAAACTTCCTACTGTTCTGGTCCGACTGGGCTTATAAAGACGGGCATAGACCATTTTCCCAGGACTGCGGCGCTACGGCCTACGCTTTTATCGAATTCCAACTATCAAGGGATTTTTTACGTCCACGTCAATGTGTAGACGAGAACTCTTGTCTTTCGTCCCATCCGAACGACTAAACAGCTGTCCTTGTCAGGCCTTCCGCCCTGCAGCACCGACATGGGGAAACCACGCCGGAAAATCACGATGAACGTTTTCGGTCAACACCGGGAGCAAACCCTCGACCACCAGACTAGGGAGCCAGCTTCTTACTCACTGAACCATCGTGGCTCCCATTTCATAATTCAAATCCTTTCAGCACTAAAAATACATAATGTAAAGCAATACATTTTGTTGGCATATGCAATACATGCTAGATACTAGGCTCCACTAGACTTGAGACGACTAAAGCTTCCCTGCCCTTCCCCCAAGGTCTAGACCGTGAATGGTCAGCTGTGATCTGAATTCGAACACTCCTATCTTTGTATTTGAAATGTGGTCGGATATTGTCGTCGCCCCCCCCCCCCCTACGCGCTAGAGGCTAATGTTAATATCTGATTGACTTTAAATTTATGCACAGTGTTTAAGGTCATGGATGAAGAATCAAATTGAATTTGAACGATTTACGATAATCACTGCCAGAGTTATGGCCCATGATATTAAATGTTAGTATAGGACAAAACTCGTAATCAGAATTTAGTGTGTTGTAAATGTTTGCATTACTAACAAAAGGAAAAGTATGCCACAACCCTTCTTGACTGCTCGGAGGACTTAGCTGCTGAGGGCGTATGTTTCGTTGCCTGATAAACTATTGTAAGCTGGTTATGTTAACGCAGCATTTGTTTCAGTGACGAAGTGCTGCAGCTATGTAGGCTACACCCCATCATGAGCGCAAAGTTATCGTTTCCGGTAAAACTGTTGATCTGAATGAAGCGTGTCACACTCAAATCATGACTGCAAATAACCCGATTCGGAATAATTGTTCCGAGTTCAATTCGGGAAAAATACGGATTCGTTATTTCAGATTCAATTCGGTTTTTATCGAATTGAGTGTGACGCCAAAGTCCGGAATAAGGCTTTATTCTGAATTCAATTCAGATTAAACCCCTAGTGTGAACGCAGCTTTAATGATTTATCAGGCCCGAATTGAATAAAATAATACGATATGAATTATTATTAAAGGATCCTAAAGAAAACGTCATTCTTCGATTCGACACATAAAATAAATTTAATACACATATCGGTGGTCATAGCTTTGGATATTATAATGTTCATTAAGTCTATTTTAAACATATGCTTTGCATCCGCCCAAACTGGAATGGACAATGGTTATTCGAAACAAAAGCGCTTACCATCGTGAGAAAGGCAAAAATACATTTTCATAATCAGATATATTACGGCCAAATGTACTCCGAAAATCGGAAAAACTAATATATATTGGCAAAAAAGAATCGAACAGAAAACATTTTTTAAAAAGAAAACATCCTTCATTGTCACTCATAGTCATATAATGTTATACCCTTATTTTTACTTTTTCAGATGAAATACTTAGAGTGAGACAAACCAGAACACTTCCACAACATGTAAAATGTCCACCGGATATGACGAAATATGAATGCTATCACGAATTAATGGCCGTCTGGACACGGGTTTTAAAGAATAAAAGAAATGTATATGAATAGTCTGAAGACGAACTCTTAATTTTTTCCTGAAAACCAAAGTTAAATTGCGTTATGTGTATTTACAAATGATTAGATTTATTTTTACCTGCAAGCAATATTCAATGAGCTCTATAAACAAATCATGTAATCATATAATTATCATAAATTGCTAAAGTAAAATTGTTTGGAATGTTTAACGTGTTCTTTTATTTGCTATAATTTCAAAATGACACCATTAGTGGGCAGGCTATTTTATTTATTTTCTTTTGTTTTTGGTTTGTTTGTTGTTTGTCTTTGTTTTTTTTGTTTCTTTTTTTTTGGGGGGGGGGGATAATACTTTACCGAACACTGTATTGACAGTTTCCCACAAATAACTGTAGCCTAATTAAGACTAATCTTTAAGAGGCATTTAGTAACTGGGTAGAGCAATACACAAAAAACACATACTTATGGAAAAACAGCTACTTATTTATTTGGGCGACGTTTCGAAGAGTATTCTCTCAACGTTATCAAGCTAATACCCAAATAAATAAGTAGCTGTTTTTCCATAAGTATGTGTTTTTTGTGTATTAATGAAGACTAGTTGTTGCTTCCCCTGATGTTTTAAACCGGTGAAGACTATTTTTGCAAGGTTTTGGTGATTATTCATGATTTTTAGACAGGGTCAGTAAGTAAACAGGCATGAGTTGGGTGATCACTTACTCAATTGAGGTCACCGCCAGATACATTCCTTTGACCAGGTCAAGCCAAATATTCAACCGTGGTTATAAAGATTAAGTTCGTCGGAATGTTGAAAACAATGTATTACGTTACGAAATGCTTTTACAGCAGACAATTTGCCTGGCAATGGGTATTTTACACTCGGTAAAGTTTAATTGTTCATTTTAACTTTGTTTCATGTGGTACCTCCAATGTTTAATCTAGCCCAACATTTTGGACCCTTGTGGGTTGGAGGGGGGGGGGGGCTTATACAGAGGAAATATTTTATCTTGCAGTCTGTTTTGTACTCAGTGAGATGTACATGTTCATTTCAATTTGGTTCCATGTGGTACCCCTAATGTTTGATCCAGCCCATTTTTAGGCACCCTTTTTCGGGCTCCAGACGTGACACGCGGCAACTGGACACTGGCAGATATCCATATCTAAATATATTAGGTTACACAGTAAACGTTCTGGTTCTCAGATATTGGTACCTTGTTCGTTTGTCCAGAGTGCCCTGACTGCAGATCTGAAATACCAATTTGCAACAAAACTCACCTGACCATTTCAACTGTGCCCACTTTTTATTTTACATAGTCCAGTTTTCGGTTGGCAATTGATAAACTCTATTATGGTACCGGTATATATTATTGTACACGTATCGTAAATATCTTATATTATTTAATGCTTTAATAATCTGATTAAAGTGGAGTTCTCAATTCCAATTAGATATCTTGTTGTGATTCACTTGTTCAACTAGCTAATTTACATAAGGTTGTTGTCTGTACCAAACTTATGCTTAACTATCCACTCTTTCCAAAATAGCCTCCCACGACTCAGGTTTTGAAGAAAATTAAACGTAAACCCCGTCTCAACAAAGGCCAACTCCTCCTTCGTTGACAAGTTTGTCTATCTCCCTTTTTATACGCCCACATTTTCATGTGGACGTCTATTGTCGTCGCCCCTGTCCGTCCGTCCGTCTGGACGTCCGTCCACAATTGTTTGCGAACAATCTACATGTCACAATTTTTATTCGATTTCAATGAAACTTGAAATATAGGTTTATCACCCTCAGATCTCGGTTCCTTTCGATATTGGCATGTATCGGACTGTAACTTCATGGATTATGGCCCCCTGATTGTACGAAAAATCACGTTTTTAGCTTGTGAACACTGTAGAGGTCACAATTTTTATCCGATTTGGTTTAAACTTGAAATGTATGCTTATAACCCAAAGATCTCGGTTCCTTTCGATATTCGTGCATATCAAAACGTAACTTCCTGAATTATGACCCCTGATTGTACGAAAAATCGCGTTTTTAGTTTGTGGACCCTATAGAGGTAATAATTTTTATCTAATTTAAAAAAACCGTATTAATATATCACCGTTACACCCTCAGGGAGACTAAGTTCGAATTTCGTGAAAATCGTCCCAAAACTGACAGACAAAATGGCCGCCCTTCGTTCTCAAATAGCGTAAAAATATGGTATATCAAGGTTGTGGACCCTATAGAGGTCACAATTTTTATCCGATTTTGTTGAAACTTGAAATGTAAGTTTATAAACCCAAAGATCGTGGTTCCTGTCGATATTCGCGCATATCGGACCATAACTTCCTAAATTATGGCCCCTGATTGTACGAAAAATCGCGTTTTTAGCTTGTGGACCCTATAGAGGTCAAAATTTTTATCCGATTTTAAAAAAAAAAAACTATTATTATATCACCGTTACACCCTAAGGACGGCTGAGTTCGAATTTCGTGAAAATCGGCCTAAAACTGACAAGACAAAATGGCCGCCCTTCGTTCTCAAATAGCGCAAAAATATGGTTTATCAAGGTTGTTGACCCTATTGAGGTCACAATTTTAATCTTATTTTGATGAAACTTGAAATGTAAGTTTATAACCCAAAGATCTTGGTTCCTTTCGATAATTGCGCATATCGGAACGTAACTTCCTAAATTATGGCCCCTGGTTGTACGAAAAATTGCGTTTTTAGCTTGTGGACCCTATAGAGGTCATAATTTTTATCCGATTTAAAAAAAAAACGTATTATTATATCACCGTTACACCCTAAGGACGGCTGAGTTCGAATTTCGTGAAAATCGGCCCAGAACTGACAAGACAAAATTGCCGCCCTTCGTTCTCAAATAGCGTAAAAATATGGTACATCAAGGTTGTGGACCCTATAGAGGTCACAATTTTTATCAGATTTTGTTGAAACTTGAAATGTAAGTTTATAACCCAAAGATCTCGGTTTCTTTCGATATTTGCGCATATCGAATTGTAATTTCCAGAATTATGGCCCTTGATTGTAGGAAAAATCACTTTTGTTTTAGCTTGTTCTCTATCCATCTCTCGAAAATGTGGGCGTATCCTGCCTGGCAGCCGCTGGTCTGTCATTCTTGTAGACGCACCCATGAATTTTGGTGGTTGCCTATATGGTTCTTGAAAACGTCGGCTGATAAGAATATTAATATACATGGGGTTCAGCCTAAGTGGTGCGCGTGCTTTCATGCTAGGATAGGCCCAAGACTGTTTATTAACACCTCCGAAAAGGCTGGTCTTTATAGGGACACGTATAAGGCACACTCACAAAAAAATAAAATATGTATTGTTTACTTACCCACGAGCGTATTATTGCGACCTTCATTAACTATCTCCATCATCGATCGATAGACAATTTATAATAATAAAAGGCCAACTTTGGGTACTTCTTTGATCAAAGTGGCTATTTTTGCGGAACTGTAATTAATTATTAGTAGGCTGTTTTCAAGACACTTCCCGTCGCGCATACTATGTCCAGTGAACATCTGTCACAATAAAAGGTCTATGTTCATTTGTAACTAGCTTTACATCCATGAGAATAGGCCAGGCTAAAACAGTGTTATTTCCCTTCCTTTAAAAACCATACTCTTGAAATATAGATGTGTTGGAACATCTGAATTCTGCCTTCAATGTATGGACTTTGATTTTAAGTACAGTATTTGTATCTGATTACTCGGGGGAAAAACCCTATTATTTTAAGTACAGGGGCGGGACGGGCGAATTAAACTGGAAATAAAATGCTTAAGTTGGACAACTATTTATCTACGATAAACTAGGTATAGTCTAGTGGACTTTTGACTTTATTGTGCAACAACAAATCATTGTGTCGTAGCCCCGTTTCTGGACACTCTAGGGGTCACAATATTTTTTAATCCGATTTCGCTTGATCTTAAAATATATTTCACGGATCGCTTCGGCTTTTGCACATATCGGACCGTAACATTCTTGACTATTGCCACTGACTGTACATGATGAAGGTTAATAAAATATATGTTTTACATCCCAAAGATCTCAGATGGGTTCAGTTTTGGCACATCTTATTGCTCCTGTCTATGTAGCCTGTGGACCCTCGAGAGCACACTGATCAGCTAATATCACTGAGGGGAGTGATATCGGTGCAGGTTAATCAGCTCGCAATAGTAACATTTTTTAAGTAATAGAAAAATAAATAAAGGTGCTTGAAGTATATCTGGATAAAACATTTCCTATTTAGTGTAAATGAGTATATAAAAGGATTAAAAGGCACCATTCTGCCTGGACCAGTTCACGTTGTGCAAACAATGCACGAGCTATCGAGCCAATGATCGACGCCATGTGATGTGCCGTCACACGTAGAATGCATGATATGAACTTTATAAAGATAAGTCATCGTGCACAGAGTTATAAGAAAGCCTTCGCAATACCTCTATGAAACAGGTTGCCTCTAGAGGTCACAATTGTTATTCGGTTTTGATGAACGTTATAATTTATGTTTATAATACAAAAATCGCAGATGAGTACGATTTTGGTGGAAATGGGTCATACCAGGGTTGTGGACCCTCTAGATGTAGATAAATTGGAAAGATGTGTCGAGGATCAACAGAACTTGGATGAGTTCGATTTGGGTTTTCATCCGTTGGCAACTTATTGGGTTATGACCCCTGCCTTTTACTTAAAATGTATATGGCCCCTCTAAAAGCCACAATATAATTATGGTCAGATTCAGATGCAACTGAAAATATATGTTAGAGATCAAATGATGTTGGTGTGCCGTAACTTTCTGGGATTTGGCCCCCGTCTTAGTGTGATGAGGGAAAATAAAGGAAAGCAATTATCGTTACATAATATGTAATATTGGTGGGCACCAACATTGTCATACCAACAACCTAGCATATATTTATTTATCTGAATTGAATACTGATAATCCTAATGACAATCTTTCTGCCTTATGGAAGTATAATTAGTTTAGTACGTGTATTTTACAATCTAATCTTGGTAGTTATTCTTTTCGAAAGAATACCTCTCTCTAGGATTCCTTCTTCATATTTCATTTTGGTTATTCATTATATTTCACATGTCCTTTGATTCCCAGTGAAAAATCATCTTTATGGTCACTCGTGTGGTAATACGTCGTATTCGCGTGATGGATATTTCTTTAAATGAACTTGAGGCGAGCTACCGTCTCTGTCCTTAGATATTTGATGCTCACCGCTAGAACACGA